GGGGGTCTGGGCCAGGGGAGGGGTCTGAACACTGGCAGGAGGGCGGGGGCAGCCGTATGGGCGTCTCCCCCACCTGGGTATGTCCCTTCGTTATGTTTCAGGGGCTTGAACACCGAGAGATGGGGTCGCCTAGGGCAATCCGTTCTGTGGATCCCACTAGTGCGTGTTCCTGTCGCCGGACATGGAGCGCCTAGGCCTCCAAGCCACCTACTGTGTGCTCGGGCAGAGCCTGTGGGGGGCGGCAGTGGGTGTCAGTGCGTTAGTGTGCGGGTACCCCAGGGTCCCCCATCTTTCTGTGGAGTGCCCATCCTGCAGGTCTCAGTTTCTAAGGAGACCCTGGAAGCAAGAAATGCCTCCTTCTTAACGCCATCGCCCGAGTCCCTGTCCCCGCTACACACACAAACACATAAACACAAACACACTAGGCTGAAATCTACAAGGACCCTTCAACCCCTTAAGTGGAAAGGGGAGTCCACAGGTTCCTGGGAGAGTTCAGTCACTGCCCCGAAAACCTGCAGGCAGAGGGGACGAAGCGCTCTTAGCTGTTTTCCTTGAGGAAGGAACTAACCTAGGGGCTGCGCAGCCCTCTCCCTCTGAGTGCCCACTTCTAGTACGTTTAACAGATGTTTACACACCTACTGTGTACTCAAGGAGCTCTGGTAGCTTAGTGGTTATGAATAGGGCTGTGGACCGCAAGGTCAGCAGTTCAAAACTACCAGTTTTTCTGCTGGAGAAAGACGAGGCTTTCTGCTCCTGTAAAGATTTACAGCCTCACTATGAGTCGGAACTGACTCCACAGCACATAACCACCACCACTACTGTGTACTCGGAATGAACTTGTGCATTGTGTCAACAAGGGTGGTGGGCCCCAAAGAAGGTAGGGGCTTAAGTCTTTCGCTGCCCCTCCCCCCAACTTATTGCTTCTGTGAAGGGGTTTCTGAAACCCCTGAGCCATGCTGCTTATGGGGGAGCAGCCTGAGTGGGTAGAGGTGCTTAGACAGGTACTGTGCAGGTATAGGCACAGGTGTCCTTCCCAGCTGTTGTTTTCACCCACAACCTCCCTATTGGCCCCAGTATCCCTGGGAGCAGGGATGGAGGAGGTGGGGTAGTTCCAGGAAGCCATTAGGATAGAGGTGGCAAGCAGACACTTGTCCAGCAACACAGCCAGGTTCTGCCTACCTTCCCCTCTCCCTGTGCTCACTCCTAGCCATCAGAGCAAATACTGAGTAGTAGGAAGATAGAAAAATGGTAAGAAGGTATGTTCCCAGCTCTCATTGCTTCCCAGAGAAATAGCCTGAGTGGGCCTCCAGGATTCAGTTCGTTCAGACAGGAGCAGGGGCCATGTCTTGCCAGTTTGGAACTTATAGTTCATGTTCCAGAGCTGGGCAGAGTTGTTCTGCAGTGTTTGTTGAATGAATGAATGAATGAATGATGGGGATACTGGCTGAGCTTTTAGACCTGTGCAACTTCACCTGCAATATTTGTCTCCACTATCCTCCTCTGGAGAGATAGTAATTGTAAGCACTACTATTTATGAGCACTTATCCTGGTATGACGCTGTAGACAATCGTAATACTGGACTGCTAATCACAAGGTCAGAAATCTTAGACAGGATCAACTATGAATTGGAACCAACTCAACTGCACTCAACAACAACAATCTGACAAAAGATTTGGCATGCTGTGTCTCCTCTCAACTCCCTGGGTGGTGAAGCCATCAGGGGAGAAAGAGGTCAGACAGAATCCAGGTGTTCATAGCCCAGAACAGTCCTTTTCCTTTATTGCCATCCTCGGTGTGTCATCACTGTCTCAGAGGCCTTCATAAGGTGACTTGTTGAGTGTCTGCCTCCCTCTCTGCTTTAGAATGTAAGCTTCAAGAGGGCAGAGAGGATAGCTGTTTGCTCACCACCTTAATCTCATTAAGGAATGAATGGAGAGCAAGGGTGGGCATTTGTTGAAAGGGAAGGACTTTTTCCCCACTGTGGAGCCTGCTCTCTGAAAAAAAATCTGATGACTAGCAGAGAGCAGGGCCTGGGCTGGAGGTAGGGTGGCCAGACTGTCCTTTGCATGTACTTGTTCCTGGGGTTCTTCCCTACAGAGGTGGGGCAGGGGCGGTTAGGCAAAGCACCTGGCTCAGACTAGCCTCAGTTCTGGTTCTGAAGCCTTCAGAAGGCTCTAAAGACTCCTTAGTTGAACTCCAATGATCTTCATCCACCCCCACCCACCCACCCCAGCCCTCCAGAGGAGGCCTGATGGGCAGCGGTCAGGATTTCAAACCTGCACCTTAACGTCTGCTAAGGGGTCTCTGAGGGAGCAGGATTCCCTCACAGTTGGAGACCCTGCAACCACCACACTCTCAGCTCTAGTAGTAGTCCGTTTGAGGAGAATTCCTTTAGTCTCCCCTACAGTCCGAGTCTTTGAAGGCCAGGGGTCGGGCGATGGGGACACTTCCCGCAGCAGGCCCCTTCTGCCCTGCCACAGCCCTGTGACTGACAGATGCAAATGTTGGGCTGGGGCCCCCGCAGGACGTCCCCTCCCTCCCTTGCTCACTTGCCTCCCGGCCAGCTCGCTCCTGCCTTTATCTTATCAAAGCCCCGTAATTACAATCGCTATTTTGTTTCCTCGAATCTGCAATCAGAGCTCCTGGGCCCTGATGAGGGAGCTCCTGTCAACCTGATCGCTGAGTGACAGCCCGGCCACCTTCCCTGGCCGCCCCCACACTCCGCAAACACAAACACACACACACACTCCCTGCAAACACAAACATACACTCCTCGCCAACGCAAACACGCCCTCGCTGGGACCCAAACACACACCTTCTGCTTCTTTCCAAACGCATCCCTGGCCCCTGCTGGGCTGGGGTCCCTCAGATGCCCGCGGGTCAAGCCCGCACCCGCCCAGACAGCAGCTCGCTTGGTCGCGCGGCCCCCTGCGCCCTGCATTCAAAGTGCCGCAGACTCTCGCCCACGCTTTAAAATGCAAGTAGTCCAGACTGCGTTAAGCACTTGGGGGCTCTGTCTGGGTGACCCCTCCCGAGGACCCCCCAGTACTGGTCTACAGGTCTACAACCCAGCTGCGTACGCCTTCGATCTCTAGAGCTCTGGAGCCAAACCAAATTGGCAGCGCTCTTACTGTTTCCTTCGGGAGGGGAGGGCGGGAACTAGGGGTGGGGAAGAAGAGGAGAAACAACCCCCAGCTGTCGTAATGACCAGGCACTCCAGGAAGTGGAAGCAGATGTGGATTGGACTCCCGTTGCGGGCAGGAGTGCCCTCTGCACTGCCCCGGGGTCCTGGGGAAGAAGGAGCTGGCAAACAAGAGGCGGAATGCAAGAAGCCATCAGCTACTTCGTGGGGGGGGGGGGTGTGTGTGTAATATCCGGGTGGGGTCTTGCCTGGGGGTCGTTGGGTAGGCATCTCTGAAAAGATGACTTGTGGCAGTTCCCCCATGCCTCCAAGAAGCACATGTGGAGACGTTTGGTGACTGTAGGTGAGAGGGTAAAGAACACCATGGCTTGCTTTCCCAGCTCTACCTCGAGCCCTTCCCAGAAATGAACGAATAAATGGATGGATGAATGACTCATTCTGCCGCCAAACCCCTCTCCAGACACGTAGACCCTGCACCAAGGTGCGCGTTTTGAGCCCCTGGACAGGCGGCGTGGAGAGCGACACTGTCACTAGCGTCCTCTCGGCTGTTTCAGTCTCGCCCACCAGAGGGCACCAGCTCTTCCTCCCCATGTACCAAAATGAGGTGAATGGCTCCCAGTCCCCTTTACCTTGGCTCCCTGGTGGAAACTCAAGGAGCAGGTTATGGGACCTGTAACCCAGACCACCGAAACACAAAGAAAGCAGCCTTTTTTCCTTTGTTTTCAACTTGAGGAAGAACGGAGATTGAACATAGAGGACAGTTGGGGGGATGGGCACCTCCTTCTTCAGAGATGCCTGCTCTCCAGTGTTTTGGAGACACTTCCTCCAAAGTTGACTCCACTAGCCCAATACTTGTCCCTTCCTGTTCTCTAAGGCCCCTCACTTTCCCAGCAGCTAGTGTAGATGGTAGCCTGTCCCCAAGCCCTGGTCTGTGTCCATCCTTAGCCTGTCTGGCCCCGTTGGGAGGTAACCTTTTGTTTGTTTGTTGGGCATTGACACCCCCCTCATCAACGCAGCTGCTGAACTGCTGACCCCAGAACTACTCACACACTCTGGAGCACACTAGCTACATCAGTTCTCTTCCTGGCACAGTAGCAACCTGGGCCCAGAACCACCTGATTCCAGGTGCAAGACCCCAGGCCAGGAGGTGTATGCTGGGGGGCAGGAACCCTCAGCCCAGGAGGCTGAGTCCCAGGGGCCCTTCTCTGCCCCCATATGCCAGGCCACCCGGATTCTGGTTTCCCTGTCACCCAATCTGGCCAGCCCCTTCCATCTGGCCCCAGGAATCAGGTTTCTAAGGGCCCAGCCCTTCTCAAGACCGCCTGCAAGACTCAAAGGAGAAGCAAAGACTGGCCCCCACCCGACCCCTCACAGGCCCTCCCTGGGACTGAGCCCCCTCATGGGGCTAGGGATGCACATTCCTCAGGCAGCTTAAGTCCCCTTATCTGCCCCCTGCCCATCAGGCTGAGTGCTGACAGAGGCCCAGACCCCTTGTTTGGACACTGATAACCTCCTGGAATGGCCCTCCCCCACCCACAGGGCTGGGAAAGGACTGGGTGTTGGGAGGTCCCCTTCCTGCAAGGGAGTTGGGCCCAGGCTTGGTCCTGCCCCAAGAACCTGGAGATAGCAGGATCCCACATTTCCCCTACTCCCCCAGACCCCAGAGCCACCCTCAGTGCTGCCACAGTGCCACCTGGTGGTCCCTAGAGGAATGCCACCCCAGCCCAGAGAGAAGCCACTCAAATGATTTGCAAAAAATGCATGCCATTTTATTTCAATCTTTATCCAAAAAAATGTAAAAAGGGGTAAAAATGTGTACCCAGGAGCTTCAACTACTGACCTCCAATCCTCACAGAAAGATGTAGGGAGAGAGGGTCAGGACAGAAGTTCAGTGTTCCTCCCACTCTTTAAGAGAAAAGGAAAGCTCCAGACAGGGTTGGGTCAAGAACAGAGCCCTGTGGAGAATGGGCCCCCTTTTCTCCGAGCACCAGCTCAAGTCTCCCCAACCCCTACCCTGAACCCTCCTCTTCAACATTTCAAATTCTGGAGACTTGTCTGGGAACACGGTACATGGCACAGGTCACAGGCTGCTATCTGGTCTGATGAGACAAGGCAATGGGTCAGTATCTAGACTTTTCCCCCTGCCCCCTCCCCTAGCCAAGTACCACTCCTCTGCTCCCTGCAACTCACCAAGAAGGGCTAGGGTCTGCCCCTCTGCTTCTTGGCAGGCAGGACAGGACACAACTCTGCTTCCTCCTCCTCACTGTCCTCTTCCTCACTCTCCTCCTCTTCTTCCGAAATGTCATTGCTTATAGTAACTGATGGATACACAGGCAGTAAAGGGGTGGAAGGAGGTTGAAGTCATTCCTCCTTCACACCACCTGTCACTCATTGGGAAATCCTTAATTATTACGCATTGAGGTTCTAAGCTTACAGGAATCATGGCTACCTAGAGCTTATGGTCTACGTGGAATGAAGCTCTGTTACCAAATTAAGTGCCGAGCAACCACAGTTACACATAACTGAATCAGAAGCTGGGCCAGTTTCCATGAAAGAAGTAGACTTGAGTAGGACAGAAAAATGGAGGACAAATGATGCAGGGGTACAGCCTGGGGGGTTAGGGACTGCACTGGGAGATGAAGCAGGAGCGTGGGAAGTCTGATAGACTGGACTGGAGGCAGCGGAGAAGGCCCTCCGGGACTCTCACCAATCTGGTGCCGCCCAGTGATTCGCACCGGGCCAGAGCCTGACCTCAGGCGGAAGGTTACAGGTGGTTGAAGTTGGAAGTCATCTAAGCTGAGCTGGAGGGAGAGAAGGATAAAGTAAAGGCCTGGGTCATTCTTGTCTCCATCCACCCTGTCTAGTGGTGAGTCCCAAAGCTTTCAAACGCCTGCCACGTCTCCCCTCTTCCCCTTAAGTATGGCTGAGGAACTCACCATGGGTTGGCAGGACAACCTTAGGTTGGCCACGGGGACTGCAATCTCCTGATGGTCGTGATTCCGCGCCACGACTTCTATAACATTGCACTCATCCTTGGCCCCCTCGGTGAGGCAAAGCTGGAATGACACATAGGGTTTCTGGGTCTCAGCAGGCAAGGCTTGAGGTGTAGGCTCTGCGTTGTCCAAGTTCTGAAGTGCCTAGAAGCTGCCCTTGTGGCCAAGGTGACACCCAGAAAAGGGAAGCGGGGAGAGGCCCACCCAATGTCTGCCCAAATCGAGCTATTCTTTGCGGGGACCCCGCCCCCTCCCTCCTCTCACCATGGTCAAGGCCAGCACGTGCTCAGCATCATCCTCTTCCTCTACCTTGAAGGTGAAAGAGCGAGTGCCACCGGAGAGTTCACAACCTGGGAGAGGGACACCAGTGTTGTGGGCACGAGTAGGGCGGGGAGGAGTTGGCGGGAACATGTGAACGTGCAGTCAACGACTAACTGGACATTACACGCCCACCAGACGGCCCTCCTCAGAAACACCTGAGACGCTCGGTCCTGAGCCCCGACCCGCACATCAGGGACGCGCGAGCGTCAGCGACCAGCTCTCGCTAGGGTCGTCAAGACAACCTTCGGTCCCCACCCACGTCGTGCATCCAAATGGATTTCTGTTCCTTTCCCCTGCCGATTACCTAGGCCACCCAAGGTCCACCCTCAACCCTTCCTTTCCCGAATACCGAAGAAAAAACTGTCCATAGTGACTGGGGCCGGAACGCGCAGAGCCCCGATACCCCTCATCCGGGATCTGCTCTCCCGGCTCAGGAATGCTAAGGCGGCTGCTGTGCCGGCGGCCATGCTGCGAGGACCGTTTCCAAACTCCTCCTCCGATACGTACAAAGCAGGAGACACACAGCCAGTTCCGGCCCCGCCTCTTAAAGGAGACGCTCAGACTGAGTAAGGAAAGTGACCGAGGCGTAACCGGGTGCGGCGTTCTCTGACAGTCGCGCCTATGAGGCCGAGGCTTCAGCTCAGACTGTATGTGAAGACCACAGACAGCACGGAACATCACAGAAACATGGATTTGGGGTTAGTGTTGACGTACTTGCTTCTTTCCATGACTAAAAATCTCTGACGACGGCTCCTGCTGCCTCCATTTTGTCCTGGTGATTGTGGTTGTGGTTATTCGCCGTCGAGTTGATTCCGACTCATAGCGCCACTGTATTGGGTTTCCGAGGCTGTAGATCGTTATGGGATTAGAAAGTCTCATCTTTCTCCCGTGGAGCGGCCGGTAGTTTCGAACTGCTTTTTGGTTAGCAACCCCACCCGTAACCCACTACGCTACCAGAACTCCATTTTCTCTTAGTATCCTTTATAGCCGCTCACTCTCCCAACCCAGGCTAAGCTTCCTTGAGGAATGAAAACCTTCCCTACTCTTTTGCTTTACAAATGCGGGTTTCAGGGCAGCCTGAGTTCGTACTAGTTTCAGCATCTCCTAGCTACTTTTTCCACCCAAATGACCCAGCAACCTTTCTCTAACACACTTGCCCCCTGCAAACACATCTTTGAGCTTCAGATGCTGGCATTGCTGTTGTCAAGTGCCATGGAGTGAGCTCTATCTTGTACTAAGAAGGAACACTACCCAGCCCTAGGTCATCGTCCATATCTTTGCTGTTTGTTTTGCAGTCACTGTGTTGATCCATCTCCTTGAGGGTCTTCCACTTTTTTATTCTATTAAGCAGATGTTCTTTTTCAGGGGCTAGTCCCTCCAGATAATATGTCCGAAGTATGTGAGACAAAAGTCTCACCATTCTTGCTTCTAAGGAACATTTTGGCTGTACTTCTTTCAAGATAGGTTTGTTCATTCTTCTGGTAGTGCATTCAGTATTCTTCACCGTAATTCAGAAGCATCAACTGTGTCAGTCTTTTTCCGTGTCAAGCTTTCACAAGCATATGAGGCAATTGAAAATACCATGGCTTGGGTCAGGTGCATGTGTTAATCTTCATAGTGACATCTTTGCTTAACACTTTAAAGAGCTCTTTTGTACATTTGTCCCATGCAATACATCATTTGATTTCTTGACAGCTGCTTCCATGAATCTGTGGTTCCAAATAAAATGAAATCCTTGACAACCTTATATTTTCTGTTTGTCTTGATGTTGCTTATTGGTTCAGTTATAAGGATTTTTGTTTTCATTTTATTGAGATATAATCCATACTGACAGCTATAGTCTTTGATCTTCATCAGTAAGTGCTAGTCTCCTACACTTGTAACAATAGTGTTGTCATCTACGTATTATAGGTTATTAATGTCTTCTTCTAATCCTGTTGCCACCCATAGTGAAAGGATACAATCCTGACGCACACCTTTCCTGATTTTAAACTATGCAGTTCTCCCAACTGTTTTTTGGTCTGTATACAGGTTCCAAATAAGCACAATTAAATGTTCTAGAATTCCCATTATTCTCAATGTTAGACATAATTTGTTATGATCCACACAAATGCCTTTGCAGTCAGTAAAACACAGGTAAACATATTTCTGGTTTTCTCTTTCAGGCAAGATCCATTTGACACCAGTAGTCTGTAAAACAGTATTACTTGTCTTTTGAATACAACTTGCATTTCTGTCTTGCTTCAACCATTTTAAAATCATCTTCAGCAAAATTGTCTTTCAGAGGGGCATAGATACGGATCCCTTCCAGGTTACTGGCCAGGTAGCTTTTTTTGGATTCCTTAAGCTAGATAAGTGAGCATTTCACCCTTGAAACCATTTGTTGGAATTGGTTATTTTGTCAATTCCTGGAGCCTTGCTTTTTGCCATTGCCTTCGGTGTACCTTGGAAATCTCCATTCAATATTATTGGTTTTGGATTATGTGTCACCTCAAATGGTTGAACATTGAACAATTCTTGATACAGCAACTCTTAAATTTTTTCCTGTGCTCCATGCAGCATTCTTTTGCTCATAGAATTCTTCAGTATTGCAACTCAAGACTTGAATTTCTTCATTTTTTTTCAGCTTGAGAAATAAAGCCTGTTCTACCTTTTTGATTTTTTAAAGTCCAGGTCTTTGCACATTTTATTATTTTTTACTTTCATCTCTCTGAGCCACCCTGTGAAATCTGCAGTTTCTTCCAGTAACAAATACTCATAGTATGTTGCTGTAAGTGCTGTCAAGATGGTTCTGACCCAATACAACCCTGTATAGGGGCTCCGAAGAGTGGCTGGTGAATTTGAACTGCCGACCTTGTGGTGGAGTGCTTATCCTACGTCATACCGGGCTACAGTCAGAGCTCTGGAGAAAGGTCATGTCTCCTTTCAGCATCATAGTGGTTGACTCAAGCTGATTATCTGTCAGCAGTTTGAAACTACCAGTGGTTCCGCAGTAGAAAGATGAGGCTTTCGGCTCCCACAAAGATTTACAACCTCAAAAAACATATACAAGGTCACTATGAGTTGGAACCAACTCCACAGCACATCACCACCAGTCTTGGTGAGGCACTGTAGGGTAAGCACTGGACTGCTAAATACTAGGTCAGCGATTTAAACCCCTGGAAACTATTCAGGGTCACTATGAGTCAGAACTGATTGGACAGCACTTACCAACAAGCCCAACATTACTTGTAGATCTCCATGTGTCTTAGCATCTACTTTCCCCATGATCTAGAAGCTTCACAGTACAGGGGTTCAAGACCCAACATATTCCATTCCGAGTTTTCCTTTCTTGGTGTTAGTAGGTCCCGCTTTTACTTCGTTTCTTCTGTTTGCTTTAGCTAAAGTTCAATATCAAGTTTTAGTCTCTCTTGATAACCACTTTGGTCTTCCTTTCCTGCCGTTTGCTTTCTTCATGTATTATGCCCTTGATGTCAATCTACAACTCACCTGGTTCTCAAGTCATTTAATGTTCAGTGTGTAAGTTAGCTCAGGTGTGGCACCTATCCTTCAAACCATCTTTCTTTGAACTGGATTCTAAACAAGCCTAAACACATCCTCCTGTTTCTTTTCAATTCACACAATTTGGGTTATTCCCCCTACCTTTCACCTTTACACCAGGAATCAGGCAAACAATGTGTTCCCTATCCTATTAGATGACAGATTATCTTTCAAATTAGCTATTTCTATTTAACACCTAGGTTATAACTGTGGCAAGAGATGGGTTGGACAGGAACTGTTTTTTGTTTTTTTTCTTAATGCTTTTGCCTTGTGTAAAATCTGGAAGGAAGCCCTTTACAGGGATAACAGTGGGGAAGGCTGCCTTCAAGACCCAGTCCCGCACTTGGGAGAGTTATGGATATAAATCCCTAAAGCGTAGGCAAGAGAAATGGTAGAGGGCAGAAAACAGTAAGTATAGATTCACACAATACAGCACTATACATGTTCACTTCATGTTTTATTTTGCCTCTTGCATGGTCTTCAGTCAGACAGCTTTACAGTTTGTTTTCTACAGAAACTGAAATGTGATCTAAACAATAAGTGTCATTCCAACCTTAATAAAAATTAATAATCATGGAAGATGTCAGTATAGCTAGTACTTTACAATCCTAGAATGAAGAAAGTTTAGGCCCATACAGCTATTTCGCAGTTTAGTATCTGTGACCACAAGACTGACCAGTGATTATTAAAAGCCAAGATAAAATCAGACTTCATAAAATCCTGATTCCTTAGGAGGCTGACCTCCAGATAAGATGCTAGCATTGTCCACTTGTGTGGGATACACTCAAATGGAAAACTGAGTGACATTCAGCCACTGGAAATAATATCTAGTAGGGATATTCCTTCATTTCCCCATAGCCACTGAAAATGCAAACTTAGTTCCAGCTTTCCAATATATTGTACATCTTTCTCTTAAAGGTTTCTACTCTGAAATGAAGAGGACTTTTCCCTCCTCTTCGTCTAACCCATTCACTGTGCCTTGAAAATCAAACTTGATACAGAACTTTAAGATTCTCCTAAAACTCACACGGATGGGAGTTCTATATAGGAAAATATTTCAGGTTTTCTTCTCCTTTCTTCCCTGTTGCTCAGCTCAACGTTAAAAACTGATTCAAAACAGCAGGGAAGTACGATAAACTAAATGCTGTTATTAATCTCTGGAGAAGTCAGCCAGCCATGATGAATAAATGATTCTTGCAGATTATCTGCCAGCTTCATGCTCAGGTCCCTTAAAAATCTCAAATGCAAATTAAAATACACAAAAAGCTTTAAAAATCAGTGGTTAAAAGGAGGGGCAGGGAGATCACCATAAAGCATTGATTGAAGTGTGCTCATCCTTTGTTTCTTTTAAAAATTAGATACAAACATGCAATAAGTAAATACTCTGATATAATAGAACCAGTACTAACAGGTCTTGAAATTAAAGGACAACTGATTGAGGGAAATGGGACCAATCAGTCCCTGAATCCTACTTGACAGGTGTCAAAACTAACATTTCACATGCTGACCTGCTATTGAGGTTAATTTCCCGAAGTGACTGTACTTTGCAACAGACTGTGTCCTACTTACAGAAGTTAGGCTCTCGTACCCCTAAAGGTCACAGACTAACCCTAGGTGGGAGGCATTTAAAAATAAAACTTCTTTAAAAAAAAAAAAAAAAAAAACTCACAAAGATAGAAGTAAAGCAAATTCATTTTCCACTATGATTTACATTCTTCAAAGTGCCATCCTGAACTAACACCCTTTTGTTTTCAAAAAGAAAAACAAAAGTACAAAAACAGTAAACAAAGGATAACTGGGTTACAGCTAGTTTATATACAAAGACATTTACAAGTTTGTAATTTTGAGGCTCTTGCCACAAACAACTGCACATTTGTCCCTACAAAGCACATGCCAGAACCAAATGTCGCTATAGGAAACAACTGGCCACGGCTTTACAGAAAGCAAAAAAATTGCCCCAAATCGAAACCATTATTCAGCTTTAACTAATACCATAACCAATCCTACTTGGAATCTCTACCCTGAAGCCTCCAAAACCACTAAATCTTTTTCATCTCTGCCATGTTCCCAAAGAATGGGAGACATTTCACTCAATAAACCAAGGAGGATAACAAAAGTGATTTTGATTACACTTAGGTGAGAAATGCAACCACACTGGATGCAGAAAACAGTGCTGACTACATTTATTGAAGACCCCTTACTATAAATGCTTATGTGTAAGAAGTCTTGGCACCTAACCCAAGACCCAAAAAGGAGGCGGCCTACACCTTCGTTTCATACAGGGCTGCAGCAGTACTGTCTTCTTCCAACCAGTGAGTAGTCAGAATGTGTGATGAGACAGTTTTAGAGTCTTCTTTGTTTCCAATCCAATTGGCTGATTTGTTAACCCCTGAAGCTGAACTGTATGAAGACCCAAACCACCACCCACCAGGTGGAGGTAAGAGAACAGTTCACTGTGCCAATAAATGTCACAGACTCCGGCCAAGTATAACCACATCCTTTGGAAAGCCTTCCATTTTTGCAATTTCAAAACAGCCTAACTTGCTGTAAAATTCCAGAATCCTTTTATCATCTGGTCTCACTTCACAGAAAGCCCCCCGGGAACCTAGAAATAAAACAAATATTCAAAACATAAATCACTTAATAGAATTGCGCTTATGAATTGTGATTAATCTTTGTGATTCAGTGGTTAAGCACTCAACTGCTAAACAAAAGGCCAGTGGTTTGAACTCATTGGCAGTCTACTTCTGTAAAGATTTACAACCTATGGGACAGTTCTTACTCTGTCCTATAGGGTTGCTACAAGTCAGAATTGAACTCAATGGCAATCGGTTTAATATTCAACAGTGAGTCAATCTTTTCCCTAGTGAAAAAGTTTCCAGAGAGGAGAGTATAGGAAATCTAAAGGCAAAGACCACCTCAGTTCAAAATATACAAGGTGTGTGCCATGCCTTTGAGGGGTCTACAGGGCAAAGCCTATTCCAGCATATGTCAAAAACCAATATATGTAGAATTCTAAGATACAACTCGCATGCTTATGTGATTCAATTCTAAGAACCACTCTAATAACTGTTCCTTCTTCACAAATACATAATTGTTTAATTCCACAAAGGGAACACCACTGACTCAAATATTTGTTAAGTGCCATCGAGTTGGTTCTGACTCATAGAGACCCTGTATTGAGTCTCCAAGGCAAAAAGCCTCATTTAGCTCTCTGGTGGAGCAGCTAGTGGGCTCAAACCGTGGACTTTATGGTTCATAGTCTAGTGCTTATCATATGACGCCACCTCACTCCCCACATGATAGTAGGATGCACCAGTGCACTAGCAGCAATTACACTTACCAGCAAACTCTAATGTGTCAGCAAATGACTTGTTTTTGAAAGGCTCAATGGCAAAAAAGAGTTTTTCTTTTAAAGAGTTTTTTTCTTTTTTTTTTTTTTTAAAAAAAAGAAAGAATATGCAGCAGAAACTGTATGTGCCCTCAAAACCTAAAATATTATCTTGCCCTCTTATACCATGCACCACTAACAATTCAGAAACCAAAGCACACGTGATGGAGAAAAGCATGTAAATTCATTATAATTCACTTCTCCCATTTTTTACTCTATAATGTAGTTCTGTCCCCACCTTGCACAGACACCAGCAGCTCCTCAAATACATACTACTCACCATTAGCCTTGAGTGAAGATAGGAGGCAAGCCATCATACTTTTGGCCACACTTGGATCGGTTACTTTTTTATGAATATCCATTTTTATCAGAGAAGGAAAATTGGCAAGGAAAGTTTCCGGCAATACTTCCTGTTCTTCATGGAAACTCAACATTATTTTCTGAAAAAAAAGTAGAATCTCTTGATTTTCAGGAGCTACAGCGCTGTGTTAATGGGCTGGACTGCAAACTGAGTTTGAACTGTAAGGTCAGCGGTTCAAGCTCACTAGCTGTTCCTCAGAAATGCTATACAGAGTTGCTATGGGTCGGAACTAACTCGATGGCACTTAACAACACCCATTATATATCTATATCCCAAACACAGAATTCATAAAACTGGGAAAAGAAAACAATATTCAGTAACTGTTTCTGCAAATACATAATCAGCACATGCAGAGTGAATTACCTTGTAATCCTAGCTGAACTTTTAAAAAAAGTTTGTCTAAATGCAATGTGGTATCAGAGTGGATCCTTTGCAACAGAATAAAGACCTTGGTGGAAACTGGTGAAATGCAAATAAAGTATAGCATTTAGTTAAAATCAATGTGCCAATCCATTACTTGTCTGTTAGTTTGTCACACTATGCTGACCTTAGTGTTTCTGTGATGCTGGAAACTCTCTGCCACTGGTATTTAAAATATAGCAGGGTCACTCATGGTAGACATATTTCAGGTGAGGTTCCAGACTAAGATAGATTAGGAAGGAGAGACTACTTCTGACTATTTAGCTACTGAACGCATTATGAATAGCACAAAACACTGTCGGATGCAGTTGTTGTTCTTAAGTGTCGTTGAGTCACTTCTGACTCATAGCCATCTTATACAGGGTTTCTGAGGATTGGCTGGCTTGAGGGTTGAATTTGCTGTTCAAAGAACATTGTGGTCCAGTGCTTATACTATAACACCAAAACACGACTCCATCAGATACAGTACCAGAAAATAAGGTCATTATGAATAGCATCAGAACACTATCTGATAACAGTGCCAGAAAATGAGCTCCTAGGGTTGGAAGACATTCAAAATACAACTGAGAAAAAGCTGTATGAGAGCAAAGCTTTTGAGACCTTCATTTGTTGCTGGAGCAAACTCAATATGAGAAGAAACAGGTGCAAACATCTATTAATAATTGAAACATGGAATGTACAAAAGCATGAATCTAGGAAAATTAAAAGTTGTCAAGAATGAAATGGAACACATAAAGACTGACATCCCAGTCATTGTTGTTAAGTGCTGTTGAGTCAGTTCCATTCGTTTTAGCTTCTCTAGTGACCCTGTATAGGGTGTTTCCAAGGAGCAGCTGGTGAGCTTGAACCACAAATGGACTGATATTGGCCATTTTGAATCTGACAGTCATATGGTCTACTATGCTGGGAACAACAAATTGAAAAGGAATGGTGTCACATTCATCATTAAAAAGATGATTTCAAGGTACATCTTGAAGTATAATGATGTCTGTGACAGGATAATATCCATACATCTACAACGAAGACCCAAGCTTGCTCCTTTTAAGTCCTAGTGTGCTGGACGGAAAAGTTGGTTTGAGCTGCAAGGTTGGTGGTTCAAACTCACCAGCCCCTCCTCGGACCCCATACAGGGTTACTATGGGTCGGAATAGACTCAACGTCACTTAACAACATAAGGAAGACCAGTTAATACAACTATTCCAATTTATTCACCAACCATTAAAGCCAGTGATGATGAAATTGAAGATTTCTACCAAGTTCTTCCGTCTGAAATTGGTCAAGCATGCAATCAAGATGCAATGATAATTAATGGTGATTGTAATGTAAAAGTTGGAAACAGGACGGGATCAGTAGTTGGAAAAATATGGCCTTGGTGATACAAACAATGCTGGGCACTGTACAACAGAATTTTGCAAGACCTTATTCATTGTAAATAAAGTTTTTAAACAACATAAAAGGTGCTTCATACACATGGACCTCAGATGGAATACACATGAATCAAACTGACTGTATTTAAAGGAAAAACCAGTGGAAAAGCTCAATGTCATCCGTCAAAAAAAGGCCAAGGGCCAACTAGAACAGACCATCAATTGCTCATATGCAAGTTCAGGTCAAAGCTGAAGAAACTTAAAGCAAATCCATGCGAGTCAAAATATGACCTTGAATATACAACACTGGTGTGGCACTATGGGTTAATGCACCAGACTGCAAGCCCTTTGAACTGTAAGGTCGGCAGTTCAAGCTCACCAGCTGTTCCTTGGAAACCCTATGAAGGGTTGCTATGGGTCGGAACAGACTCGACGGCACTTAACAACAAATGTAGAAACTATCTTGAAAATATATTTGACGCGTTATTAGATACTAATTACCAAAGACCAGAGAATTGTGTGACATCAAGAACAACATACAGAAAGATCATAAAGACAAAAGAGACCAAAATGGATGTCAGAAGATGCTCTGAAACTTGCTCTTGAGTGTAGAGAAGCTAAAACCAAGACCTGGAATCAGAAAACTAAAAGGGAAGAACATGGTCAGCATTTCTCAAGCTGAAAGAACTGGAGAAAAAAATCCAAGCCTCAACTTAGCAATACTGAAGGATTCTATGAACAAAATATTGAACGATGCAGGAAGCATCAAAAGACGGTGGAAGCGGGACCCTACCCAGAGAAACAATGACACCAGAGATAGAGACAGAGACAATGACGTGGAGAGGTAGAGCGGCTGGGGACTTTAGACCCAGAGAGGGAAAGGAGCTGTGTGCTGATGACCCAGGGCAGGCATGTGGAGTGTACTCTTTGGTTGGTTGATGATGCATGGAGGGGATTGTAACCATGGCAATGTAACAATATACGATAGGATGAATGTAATCATACTATCATATAAAACTCATGATAAAAGTTATAAATAATAATAATTTATAAAAAGATGGTGGAAGCCTACATAATAACGGTACCAAAAAGAAATGGTTGCTGTTCAGCCATTTCAAGAGACAGTACATGATCAAGAACCAATTATACCGAAGGAAGAAATCCAACCTTCAGTGAAAGCACTGGCACAAAAACTCCAGGAATTGATGGAATACAAACTGAAATCTTTCAATAAACTGATGCAACATTGGAGGTGATCACTTATCTATGCCAAGAAATCTGGAAGACAGCTTCCTGGCCAAATAACTATAAGAGATCCAGATTTTATGACCATTCTAAATAGAGGGGACGCAATGGAATGTGGAAATCATCCAACAGTATCATTAATATCAAATGCAAGTAAAATTTTGCTTAAGATAATTCAAAGACAGCAGCAACAGTACATCAATAGAACCGCAAGAAATTCAAGACAGATTCAGAGGATATGCAATTAAGGATATCACTGTTGATGTCAGAGAGGTTGGCTGACAGGAGAGAATACCAGAAAGATGTTTACTTGTGCTTTATTTAGACTATGCACAGGTTTTCAACTGTGTGGATCATTACAAACTATGGAAAAATTGTGAAGAGTGGGTACTCCAGATCATTGAATTATGCTAATAAGTAACCGGTACACAAATCAAGTAGCAGTTGTTAGAACAAGAGGATACTGAATGATTTAAAATCAACAAGGTGTAGGTCAGGGCTGTATCCTTTTACCTTACTTACTCAATCTGTATGCTGAGCGAAGAATCTGAGAAGCTGAATAACATGAAGAACATGTTGTCAGAATTGGAGGAAGACTCATTAACAACCTGTAATATGCAGATGACACAACCCTGCTTTCTGAAAGCGAAGAGGACTTGAAAAATCCTCACATCTGGACCAATAAATAACATCATGGCAAATAAGAGAACACAAAGACTGAAGTCAAAGACTTCATTTTGGTTAAATCCACAATCATCACTCATGAAAACATTACGCAAGAAATCAAAGGGAGATTGGAACCATGGCAATGAGATGAGATACGATGGAATGAATCTAAAACTAAAGTTCTCCCATGTAAACTATCATGAAATTCACAATAAAACATTAAAAAAAAAAAAAAGAAATCAAAGGGAGTATTGCAATAGGCAATCAAGAGCAAAGAAAAGTATCAGTTTAAGGACTAAGGTGTGCCTGACTCAAATCATAGTATTTTCAATGGCCTCATATGCACGTGAAAGTTGAATAATGAATAAGAAAGAAATCAATGCATTTGAATTATGGTGTTGGAGAAAATATTATGAACTACCAAAGGAACAAATAAGTCTGTGTTGGGAGAAGTACAACCAGAGGGCTCCTTTGAAGCCAGAACGGCAAAACTTCATTTCTCATACGTTACCATAGAAGAAAAGGGTACCCTGGGACCAGCAAGGGAGAAGAGCGGAGAGCGGGATCCTACCCAGAGAAGCAGTGATGCCAGAGATGGAGGCAGAGACGATGATGTGAAGAGATGGAGCAGCTGGGGACTTTAGACCCAGAGAGGGAGAGGGGTTGTGTGCTGAGGACCCAGGGGACAAGCTTGTGGGGTATATGTACCCTTTGGTTGGTTGATGATGCATGGAGGGGATTGCAACCATGGCAATGAAATGATATGCTATAGGATGAATGTAAAACTGATGTTCTCCCATGTAAACTATCACATAATTCACAATAAAACAGTAAAAAAAAAAAAAAAAAATTTAAAAAAGAAGAAAAGGGTAATGGTTGATGGTTACACAGAAATTCTGCATTACCTTTTCTATTGATCAAAAAAGTCTTCAAAACAGTTTTTTGTAAAACAGCTTGTACTCGACATGCTAGTCATTCCTATGCTGAAAACTGCAACTGTCAGATACAGAATAGCAGTTTAAGTCAATATGCTTACTGTATGTATTACTGGTGTCAAGGTAATTCCAAGCAAGTGAGGCCACTCCAATAGAGCTCCTCATATTACCTAGCCACCTGGCTAGCAGCAGAAGGTAAATAATAGAATACGAGTACTTTGATATGGGAAAGAAGAGAATTTTGGAAAAGGGGAAGCAAAGAAAGATAATGTCATAAATAAGAATCTAAATAAAGACCTGAAAATAAGTTACTTTCAAGAAGAAACTATAAAAAAAATATGTTCATATATAAACCAAAATAATTAGGACAGAACCTACATACCCCAAGGACTGCTTCTAACAGAAAAGACTCAAAAAAACTCACCCCTAATATTTTTAACTACGTTAAAATATGTATTACTGAAAACTCTAGCCTCTGATCAAACCATGAACTGAGACATTTTAACTACCAAAACTTGTCCTGGTTTGGCACTGTGGGTTAATGCACTAGACTGCAAAGTTGTTTGAACCACAAGGTTGGTGGTTCAAGCTCACCAGTCGTTCCTTGGAAACCCTATACAGGGTCGCTATGGGTCAGAACCAATTCAGTGGAATTTTACAACAACAAACAATAAACTAGACCCAAGTACCCCATACAGACACCACTGTCTCTATATGGTGAGGAACTGTTATAACTATACTCTTAAATAAAAAGCCGTTTTAACAGGGAACAGTGAAAACATCATGCTAGACTAAATCCTAAATAGTGGTTATTTGTTTCCCATAGTTTCCATATTCTGTACTTGTGTATTACCTCAGCCTCAGATAGTTCTTTGTCACCATTTGGCTTGGTGTACTTCTCCTGCATGAACGGAATCCAGGAAATTTTACATTTTTTAATGAAGGGGGTCACATCTACAGTGCCCAGAGCATAACCACATATGCCATCTTCATCTTCTAGGACGAAGCAGTAATCCAGGCTGAGAGAAAGCAGACCTCCTACTAACCTGTTCAGATAAAAGAAAAGAAGAGGCCTGAGTGAGAACACAAAATCTCAGACTAAGACCTTAATATCAGAGAACAGAAATGTACACATATTCAGATTTTACTAAAGCTAAAATGGGGTTAAAAATTTCTTTTCCTCACTCATTACCTCCCCTCAATAGCTATGATAGATCTTACTATCAATTATCTACTCCCAAATCCCAAGACGTATCACATACTTGTCTCCAATAAGGTCAGGTTGACTTTGAAACGGTAAACCCACTCCGTCGTCATACATTTCTCTGCAAATCTTGTACACGGAAGCCTGAAAATATAATCTAGTTAAAGTAACACATCAAGAAACAGATATAGCAAAATCTAATAGCAATAGGATTCCTAAGTCTATATGGATCTCTAAAAGGAAATACTGAAATGTCTAGCCTGTTAAGAGATCATCATCTCAGTTTTGTTAATTAAGATTTATTCATTGTCAGATTTGCAAAACCCTTAACAACACAACATAGTTTAGAAAATACTGAGAATTACTTTGCAAGGGATGGCTTTGGTAATAAATGCTAGTTGGTAAAGCCAGCAAACTATGAGACTGAGTCTGGTTTTCTACAAATCAGCAACACTTTGAGATTATTTTATAAACTTATTTTTCTTTAAACAGGCTTGCTTTTTTCTTTAGCTGAATCAATAGTCTGTGGGTACTTCACAACCAAAAATTACATACTACTATTATATTATAGAAAATCAGTTTTCTTAGTAATTCCAGCCCTGAATAGATTTCTTTGTAACTTTTTAGGAGAGGACTTAATTTAGCACAAGGTGTTAAGGAGTCTAAATTCCTGAGGTTCTTTCTCAAAACTGTGTACACATTCCCCCTCCTGTCATCAATTTCTCAATGAACTGTATCTAACTATTGTATGTTAACATGTCACTAAGTGCCACCCAGCCAATTCCATCACATAGCAACTCTGTATAGGGTTTCCGAGGAGCGGCTGGTAGAGTTGAACCGCCAACCTTGCTGCTGTTCAGACTTTGCAGTTCAGTGCTTATCCTGTAGTGCCACACTCACCAGACTCCATGTTAACAGGTAGAACAGAGTAACCATTGAATTCAAAGGAAAGCATAAGTGTGCACCATAACCACACCCAAGTTGGTACATAAACAATTACCTCATCTTTAGGAAAATATGGTCTGATAGTATAAACTTTGGAGGTAGGAGTCAGTGGGGGTGGTTGAAAAAAGAGATCATTTGCCCCATCTATTGGCAGCAAACGCTGTGGGAAGAAAAAGGAGATGCATTAATATTAGGAAGATATTCACTTTTTAAAATGGGTGTGCACTGCAGATTACCAACTTAACATTAACTGGCTACTGCAGGCAGACCTAAAGAAGAGGGGTATACTAATCTTTACTAATAAAAATACCTCTTTGCTGGGGGGAGTGCTTCTGAATAGAAATTACCCAAATTGAGTTACATAGCTTTAGTGGCATATTATCGGGAATTTATATTTATAGTAAAAAAAAATAAACTAAAACAAACAAAACCAAAACAACGGAACAAACAAAATCTATTCCAATAATGAAAAGTCTTTTTTAAAACCAATCTTATATAGACCATCTCTCAACTAAAAGATGGCAGAACAGAATGTCAGGAGGAGAGGTTTGGTCTGAAGAGGGTTATCTGTCCAGGAGACGCTTTATCCCCAAAGCAATGCGCTTCAGTTTGCTGTGCGCAGCAGAGCACCTGTTGGGGGGAGAAAAGTAGAGCACCTGAAAAGTCCATGAACAAATCCCAACACCAAAGAAGCTTCATGTTTTGCTGAAATTGTTAATGTGGACTGTTTTCTTTCAAGTATACGCTATTACTTATGAAATAACTGAAAAAGCATCCAAAGCCTTTTCACCATTGACTTGTATGATTGATTGATTGATTACTCATCTATTTTGCTCATGGAATTTCCAATGGCAGACAAGCATGCGCGCATTGTGCATTGCGGGCGCAGATTAAAATGCTGTGCGACCTGCAAAGAAACAATGTGAAGTATATACCTAGAGCCGCTGCGCTTCGCGGGCGCGGGGGAATTGGCAGCATCTCCTTCAGAAATTACTGTGAAAGAGGAGGAAAATTTGATTTAAAAATTCAGCTATGTAACTAAATTGAATTTGGGACCAGAAAGCCTTCGGCAGACCAATCCTTCCAGCCATCTGATGCGCAAAATAAGGTTTCTCATAAAACAAAGAAAACGTCAATTCAGTTGTGAATTCATATTGATACCTGGAACTCTCCTGCTAGACCACCTCTAAAGGCCCAGGGTTCTTGGTCTCCAATTAAGAACTGTGCTGAAGAATGACTACGACACCCTGTTGAGATCAGATCCAAGCGGAGAATGTTACGAGAAAGGGGATTTCCTGGGGTCTCAAACGTCCAACAAACTAACAAACACTTTGTGGAAATAGCTCTCTAACAATAATAATCCAGGGTTTCAGGGTAAGGCTGTGATAATAATTTTCTTTCTTTTTTTTTTTTAAAGTAATGGAATTCCAATACCAGCATTCCTTCCTTTGGTTAATGAATAATCACATTTATCAATTCTACTGACACATATAGGAAGGAAGTCATAAATAAGTATAAATAAAACTTTTATAAAGAGTCCCTGGATACAGATATAAAAATTAAGCCAGCTGTTTGCTCTGTAATGAAATTACAGTAACTATAAACTGAAATAAATGACAAAATGAGATAAATTTTATTATCACAGCCCATGAAGGAATTAAACCTGTCTGAAGTCACATTTTACATTTGAGGAAGGGTACAGGAAAGGGAAAAAAAATGGGGAAAGGGTTAATCTTGTCAGAAAACTAAGGTCAGAATTATTTAAAAAATTGTTTGATAACTGAACTACTACGTATACAATGAAAACTTTTTTTCTTCTGATGAGGACAATCCAAATTCAGAATTAGGGTAGTTATAATATCATAGTCTGTCAGATGTCTGAGAGCTAAGTAGAGTCACTGATGTTCCTTTTAACATTCTTCTGTTAAAAGTATGACAGCAAGCACCTGGCTCCTCTGTTCAACCATTATCATCTTTGCAATGCACTGAACACATGTATGGAGTGGCACATTCTGAGGCCCAGAAGTCAGCAGTAACGTCACTGCTTCACCAACTTCGTGGGCAGTAAGTATAGCTACCAATAAGAGATCATTACAGGCCAGTGTTTGGAGACCAAAATCACCTGCCTAGTCTTCTGACAAGATAAAGCAGCGCAAAATACTTCTTTTCCATTTGAAGACAGCATTCTACCTCCTGTTCAAGTTAACAGTCTCATCAGTACAAGATGTAGTGTGCTAGTCAGACAGTCCCAAAGCAACCAATTTGCAATGATAATTAAGACCCATTGAGAATTTATATCTTTTTTTGTCATTTTTTAGGGGTAGGGGTATTTTAAAAAAAAAAAAAAAAAACATGTAATGTAGTATTTGTAAAATAAATGTGAGGGTCAAATTTAGATAAGGATGAGAACCTGCCCCATTCCATAACTCAGTGTAATTTACACTGGGGTGGTGGTAGTGGGGAGAGGGGAAACTATACCTCTCAGACTTTAAGATCAGCCAATTTCCCCTACCCCTACTTTGAGACAACAATATAACTAGCACTTTCAACTATTACAATAAAAGGCTGCATGTACGAAGAGCTGTGTAAATGAAAACATGGTTAATGCCTCAATCGCTGCGCAAACGTGACTTCAGTTCATGCCTACTGCCCTTAAATCTACCTGAGCTACCTCACAGAACCTTTCAACTTAAACTAATTAATCATGACGCGCTGTGAACATCTGCCGCTGTCCATCCAATAGTAGTAGACACTTGTGCTGAGGATTCTCCCATCTGTACACAATGGGGAAGAAGATAATAGAAGTCGTTAGTAATCAAAAGTACTGCATAGCCACATTCTTTAAAGAACTGAATGCCAACTGGATTGGAGAGAGGAGGGAAAACGAGTTCTAATCAGTGATCCCCTGAAATTACTACAGAACCATGAAGATTTCTCTCTCTGCCATGAGTTTTTTTATAAAGGTAGGCAGAGACACCAAGAGGATTACTTAAAACTTCTAAGATGCTTTGACCCTGAGATTGTGTAACAGTTATTTGTACAATTTTGGAAAGCTACTCCTTAATTGCATAAAACAGCAGTAAAAGTCTGAAAGGAAACAGAAGCAGTAAGCATGGTGTATAATCAAAAATTTTAAGTGATATACTTTATTAAGGGGCACTGGTGGCACAGTGGTTGAAGTTCCTGCCTGCCTGTTAACCAAAAGGTCAGTGTTTCAAACCCACCAGCCCCACTCCACAGGAAGAAGATGTGGCAGCCAGCTTCCATAAATGTGACAGCCTTGGAAACACTAAGGGGCAATTCTACTCTTGTCCTATAGGGTCACTGTGAGTTGGAATTGACTCGACAGTAGTGGGTATACTTTATTAAGCTCAATGACCCAATTTCAGGTTCAAAATGCATAAGGGGACTTCGAAATATGAGATTTAGCACTAGACTGCTAACTTCAAGATCGGCCGTTCAAACCCACCAGCCTATCCTTGGAAACACTATGGAAGGTTGCTATGAGTCAGAACAGGCTTAACAGCACTAACAACAACAAAGGATTTATAAGCCTATGTCCAAAAGCCTTTCTAGGAATGTCCCTGGGTGCAAAAACACTGGAAGGCTGGTGATTTGAAAGCCTAGCAAATTACTTTCTGAAAATTCTGGAGCGTAGGTCTACTCTGCACACATGGATGCGGTTGCCATGGGTCAGAATTGACACAATGGCTGCTGGTTTGGGTTTGGTTTGGCCAATACTGAAGGCAAATGCCTTCATCTGACAACCAATATAAAAGTTTCTCATGAGTTTAAGGGCAGCCAGCTGCCACTGACAAAGAATCAAAATCCTCTTTTCTAACTTGTGTGCTTTATCAGCAATCCAAAAAAAGTGCTGGATTTTTAAATTAACAATCAAAGACTGCTTTTCAATGGGCTAATACATCAGAACTGCAAAGCAGATTTGAACTGCAAGGTCAGTGGTTCAAGCTCACCAGCTGCTTCTTGGAAGCCCTATACAGGGTTGCAATGGGTCGGAATCGACTCAACAGCACTTAACAACAACATTCACTGGAAAACTGTTACTTTTTAATTTTTTAAGAGCCAAAAGACGTGAAAGGCAGTAAGTGAGACATCTCATTATTACCATGCTTCATCTAAGCTCAGAATATTTCAGGTATCTTTCACAACTAAGACCACATAACCCATCATATAGTATTTGTAACTACTATGAAAACTATGACAGTATCAGTCAGCCTTGCTGCCTGCTGTATGTTATATGTAAGTCCATTACATATTCCTTATAGCTGGATTGAAAACCTGGAAATGAAATGAAGTCCCTGGAGAAACTTGGCCATGCTGGTGCTTTTTACCAAGTTTGAGAATTTTCAAATACCACTTTAATAAGTCCATTTAATGAGGCAGAATGTTTTTACGGAATCGCAATTTCCATCCCCTGCTAAATCAATTACTTGGTAGAGGAATAACGAAAAAAGCCATGTGAAATAGCACCAGAATAGCCTTCCACTAAAGCTCGCATGCGCACAGGGCTGGGAGGATGACATCCTCTTGCCAGGCCCCTTAGGTCATTTCAACAATGGTTCTGTTAAACACAGCATTAATGTTATCAAGACACAGCAAGCAGCAGAGAGCTTACAGAGTCATATTTCATAGAGTCTTATCTCCAAATCAGATAAAAGTGGTATACAGGATTCCATCCAGGGAGCATTCAGTCAGAGCAAGTTAAAGTCAGTACTTTCTAAGACATTTTCAATTATGTTGAATTAGCCCAAGGGAGAAAAATTAATCTCAATTTTTAAATGAAAAAATTAAGCTCAATAAAATTACTGAGACTTGCACCTTAAGTCTGTAATAATGCCTATCTTTGAAGGAAACCTTGGCAAAGAATTTAAGAGTTAGAAATACACCAATTTCCTAAAATGTTTTTCTCCCTATGGGATAATGGCTTTTTTTTTTTCTTTTTTTATTAAGAGACAAAATATTTGAAGAGAGACTTTTCCTGGTGCACCTACCTAACCACTGTACAAAAGATTTCACCATAGACATTATACTCTTGATATCCCAAACATAGGAGTACATGTCATAAAGGATTGTCCTGTTGGCACAATTGGAGAGTCGTGTGAACATTCCCATCACTAGTCCGCACATCTCTTCAAACTTGGCTGCTCGTGATCGCCATTCTTCAATCTATTGAGGAGCAACAAAAAGATTCAAAAGCTTCAAGTTTAACAAAATAATCTATACTCAATGCTATAAACTGTTATCAGGCACCTGCAATTTACCCTAAACATTGATGAATCAATGGCTTAAACTCTACATAATGAAAACAACTGTCTCCTCAAACTGACAAATATTACTAAAATAACCAACTCTGACTTTCCTTCCTTCCAAGAAACTCAAAGGTCAAATGATGAAACTTAACATACCAGATGCAGCAAAGACAACTACTTTATAGAACATCCTCTAAAATGTGGTCTTTTTTTTAAATCATCTACAAGTATGTCACTTAAGGTCTCGTTATCAGCTTGGGAATCATCCCAGCTGGAAAAGCAGATATAAGCATTCTCACATTTTAAAAAATATTTTATTGTGAATTTAACGACAGTTTACATGAAAGAACATTGGTTTTACACTCATCCTATCATAATTCCTCTTGTTGCAATGATTACAACCCCCCTTTATGCATCATCATTCAACAGTATTTGCTTCTATTCCATTGTTGTTGTTTTTTCTGGATGTACACAAAAACATTCCGGAATATATAATCATTTAAAGGGCACATTCTGCAAGCCTCTTGGCTGCCAGCAAACAGCCTTTCTCTTTCCATGAGTCTAGAGTCTTTATTTCTGCTATCACTGCTTCTCTGGATAGGGCCCCTCATTCCGCTTGTGCTCTTCTCCCTGGATGGTCCTACGGTCCTCTGTTCCTGGACTATAAGATTAACTGCTCCCCCACTTATGTTACAAAATTTATACCTTCACGAGCATACTTACTTTTTCAGAGTCTTTTCCTTTGCAATTGACACTAACAACACTGCTATTTGCTCGAAGCCATTGGAACTCGCGTAACATCTGTGCTCCTTTGGGTCCATGCTCATAAGGAAGGTAGAACAGATCAGCAAGTAACTGCAAATCCTCCAGAGTCACTGGTTCTGCAGTGTACAAAGGCTTTTCATTTGGACCTGGAACAAACTGTTCCTTGTTTGTCTGTTCATCAGTTTGCATAGGGGCAACATCACTAATGCAATCTTCCTGCATGGACATCTCGGGGGATTTTGATTCAACTATGCTCTCTTTATCAGTATCCATTGGTTTCAACTCCTCTGCCATTTTAGCTTCAACAATTTCTGTTAGTATTTGATTGTCATTCTTGTGGTCTGTTTCTTCTTGTTTTTCTACTACCATGTCCATGGGTTCCTCATCTGGCTGTTTCTTTTCTTCTTCCTTGGTCAGAGCTGCAGTCTCCGCACTCAAGGCTGCTCCTTGGCTCATAATGGGCTCCTGGTAAACTGTTGTAACAACAGTTGTAGCATTTAAAGAGGGTGCTGCAACCAGTGGCGCCCCATCAACTACACTTGCTTTAGCTCCACTGTGTGCAACTTGTCTACCTACCAAAAAAAAAAAAACAAACAAACAAACAAAAAAAACTTACCAGAAAGATAACCAGGAATTAACAACAGAATAAACTAGACTTAGAGAAATGGTTATAATTATTCAAAATTTCATCTCATTTCACTTTGTGTGGCACATGGTATTCTTTACTTTGTGACTCAACTATGTGACCCAAACCCAAACCCCTTAACAAAGCACAGCCAAACTCACTGCTATACTGATGAGGTACGCCAAACTCCTGCAACCATTCTGTTAAAGCTAGTTTTAGAGCCATCTGTGGACTATAGAGTACATCGGTTTCAATATCTTCATCACTGCCTTCATTTTCTAACTTTATCTGGATTGATACAGTACTGTCTTCACTGTCAGCTACAAAGAAAAGCATAAAAAGAGTTTTGATTACAAATGCTTCCTGGCAAGTGAGAATAAAATAATGTAAAACACTAGTTACAGTAGAAGGCACCTAAACACACTGCTGAATACATGAAAATTAACATGCAAGCCACTGTGCTTTACATAAAGATAACATTTCCTAAGGAGCTCTGGTAGTGTAGTGGTTACGAATCGGGCTGCGAACCTTAAGGTCAGTGGTTCGAAATTACCAGCGGCTCCGCAGGAGAAAGATGAGGCTTTCTACTCCCGTAAAGATTTACATCCTCGGAAACCCTGTACAGGGTCGCTATGGGTCGGAACCGACTCGACGGCACTTAACAACAACAACAAGGAGCTCTGGTAGTAGAGTGGTTGCAAGTCGAGCTGCTAACCTCAAGGTCAACAACTGAAAACTACCAGCTGTTCTGCAGGAGAAAGATGAGGCTTTCAGCTCCTGTAAAGAGTTACAGCCTTGGAAACCTTATACAGGGTTCCTGTGAGTCAGAAATGACTCTACGGCGCACATAACCATCACTACTACCACTTTTAAAGGGGCTTCATGAGGAAACAAATATGAAAATAATGAGTATGAATTACATATGCCTAGGGGGAAGGGGGGGGAATTAAGAAAAATGTTAATCATTTTTTAAATGGTAGTGACAAAGGTAAGGAGCTCTGGTAGCGTAGTGGTTACGAATCGGGCTGCGAACCTTAAGGTCAGCGGAAGATGAGGCTTTCTACTCCTGTAAAGATTTACACCCTCGGAAACCCTGTTACAGGGTCGCTATGGGTCGGAACCGACTCGACGGCACTTAACAACAACAACAACAACAGTGACAAAGGTGACACAACACGAATGTGTTGAACTGGCAAATGCTTTGCTACACATATTTATTTACCACAAAAAAATTACTAAATTTTTATTAAGTCAGCATTCCCTTCCTTAGAACTACTAAATTAGGCATTTTCCATAAATTTGCAAGCCAATATCTACAATGAAAATATGTGCCATAAATTTAAGTGGAATCTAAATGACATGCAAAGTAACTTCACAAGAAGAGCTAATCATCCAAAATATTCCATTTAATAAAATCACTTGGAAACCCAAGTGAAATCAGGAAGACTTCATAGACTGAGTTCTCTATTAAAAACGAAAAACTAAAACCAAGAAATTAAGTGACTTAGGTAAGGCCATTCAGAATTTCTTCTATTCAGCTTTCTTCTAATATGTTGTTATTAAATGCCATCGAGTTGGTTCCAACCCATAGCGACCCTATATAGGGCTTCCAAGGAGCAGCTGGTGAGCTTGAACCGCTGACTTTGCAGTCCAATGCATTAACCCACAGAGCCACACCTGTTGTTAAGTGACACTGAGTCTGTGCTGACTCATAGCAACCCTGCATAAGTATATGTTGTTGTTAAGTTTTGTCAAGTTGGTTCCTATTTGTAACAACCGTGTACAGGATTTCTAAGGTGCAGCTGGTGGGTTTGAACTGCTGACCTAGTAATATGTAGCCCAGTGCTGATCCTACGGCACCAACCACACTGGTGGTAGTGGCTATGTGCTGTGGAGTCGGTTCTGACTCATATCACCCTGTACAGGGTTTCCAAGGCTGTAAATCTTTACAGGAGCAGAAAGTGTCATCTTTCTCCCACGAACAGCTGGTAGTTTCAAACTGCTGACCGTGAGGTTAGCAGCCCAATTCGTAACCACTATGGTACCAGAGCTCCTTACAGCACCACACTAGGAGTCCCTGTAAAGATTTACAACCTCAGAAACCCTGTATAAGGTCCACTATGAGTTGGAACCTACTTAGTGGGACAAAACCACCGCCACCACCATATATATATACACACACACAAACATGTATTGTTGTTAAGGGCCATCAAGTCGGTTCTGATCCATAGCGACCTTGTATAGGGTTTTCCAAGGAGCAGCTGATAAGCCTGAACCAACGACCTTGCAGCTCAAATGGTTTTGCAGTCTGGCGCTTTAACCCACAGCGCTACACCAGGACTCCTATACATGTATACACACACATATATACTTTATTAACAGGACTAAACAATATACCTTAATAAAGTCTCAAACTGTGATGACAAAAGAATACATACTTGCCAATGGCTCTAGTTCACCCCGATTCTCCTCGCAAGGGTAAGCAGAGTCTACTTACTCATTACTACATCTTTTCTCACTCCATTCATATTTGATTTATACCAGGTAGCAAGGGTGTGGATAGCAACATAATTGGCTTCAAATTCACAATTTGGATTTGTCAGGACTCCTTTTAACCGTGGGATGAGTTCTGTGGATCTTCCTTTGTATGGGCCCAAAAATAATCTCTTCTGGTCATAATCATTAGCATGAATGTTATCCCAGATTACTGGAGCTCTCTTAATAATTTTAGAGACCTCTTCAATAGATTCTACTGGAATTTCTTTAGAAACAACTTTGGGACCTAGAAATAATGACCATGACTTGTTAAAAGAACCTCAAACACGGGTCTTTAAAATATAACTCCATATACAACCTTTTAAAATTCTATCGTATTTTCCATGTTATACACTTCACAATGATTTTTTCTTTTTAAACTAACACAATAACAAATATCTTTCTAATCAAAGGTTTTATTTACTTCTCCTAATCTTTCCTTAGAAAATTTCTAGAACAAAATCAGATTCTAGAAACGGAATCAGTAGTAAAAAAAGGATTTAAGGCTAGTCCAAGCCTAAATTCTTATTATACTAAAAGAAACTATTTTTCACAAACACTTGATGTCCATTATAATACAGTAAATCTTCAATTATACAACCCCCAATCAGCCTAAACTCTGGGAGGGTGTATGTTTTTTATTCTTAGAAGAATGAAAGCTAAATAACTAATTAACTACTAGCTGTCAGCAAATCAGTTTTCATTCTATAAAATACAAAGTGTGTTATAACTGGGATCAATATCCTTTAGTCCACTTCTATATAGAGTCTATATTACTTATTCAGATACTAATATTTAGATTTAAAGCACAATCTTCAAAGACTGTACTGTACTAAGTAAACAATGTATACTTTTTAAAAGGGTTTCTTAGGAATGAAGACTAAGTTTCTTGGTTAAGGCTTAATTTTTAAAAATTTCAGCTAACGTAAGTAACTACTTTCTCTAGGATCTGGTTAATCGAAGTTTTACTATATAAATCTTAAAGTTCAAAGCTTACCTGTCCAAAGTACCTCAATCCCAGGGAGCAACTTTTCACCCACAGTCCTTAAATAAGGAGACTGGGAGACATTTGGATAACAGAAAGTACCACAATATTCTGAATGTAGGGGGGAAAGTAAAATAGGAGAGAAATCACCATGGGGTTTTTTACAAGAAGAAAATGTCTATCAATTTAAAATTTTATCCATCCAAATGATAAAAGTCTCCCATATCATGCCCAAAAGAAAGTAAACTCAAATATACTTTCATTTAAGAATGAACTTCCAAAAGAAGTATAACAGTACAGATCTTCATTTCATACAGTCACTAGAAATACAAGTTCTTTACAGAAAATATGTAGCATTTTCAACATAATTTTGAATTGTCTACATTTCTCAGCTACAATCTCAGAAGCCAAAGAGAATGAAATGGCAATATCACAATTTACCCAATACAAATAATGGACTGTTAATTACAAGGCCAGCAGTTCAAATCCATCAGCAGTGCTAAGAATCCCTAGACAGGGCCACTGTGAGTTGGAACCAACTCGACGGCCCACAACAACATCTCTAATACAAGATTATGCCTAGTGCTGTTAGCAATTCACTGTAACTTGAATTGTAACCTGGACCAAATTAACCAATAATAGCTTTACTAAACATTATATGTGAGTATTAAGGAGCTCTGGTAGCGTAGTGGTTACGAATCGGGCTGCGAACCGTAAGGTCAGCAGTTCGAAACTACCAGCGGTTCCGCGGGAGAAAGATGAGGCGTTCTGCTCCCGTAAAGATTAACAGCCTCGGAAACCCTGTGCAGGGTCCCTATGAGTCGGAACCGACTCCACGGCACATAACAACAACAACAGCAATATGTGAGTATTAATATGAGTCCTGGCATGGCACTGGAGGATAAGCATTGGACTGCAAGGTCGGCAGTTCAAATGTACCAGTCACGACGCTGAAATCCTATAAAGGGTCATTATGAGTCAGAACCAATTTGATGACACTATTAAACTACTCAAATAAGGTTCCATGGCTAACTAAACTCTAATTAGGACAGATATATAGAAATGAAGTTAAATAATTCAGTCCAAAATTTCTTAGAACTAATGTACATTTCTCTTCCGGAACAAAAGTGAGATCTGGGAGAAAACTTAAAAGATTAATTTTGAGGAGTTACTAAATTAAGAGACTTTTAAAAACATTTTAAACGGAAAGAATCAGGAGAAGGGAAAAATAAAGGTGGAGAAAAAAATTATGTTTTGTTCTGTTGTACATCAGAACTGACTCAACAATACCTAATGATAATATGCTGACTACTGGAAATAAGAAACCAGATGGGAGTAAAAGTAAAAAAAAAAAAACAGCGAAATGCATGAGCAGAGAAAGGGAACAAGGAGAAGAAAATGAGAAGTAAAACAAGTAAAATCCCCCCCCCCCCGCAATTTTCATTTCAATAATTCTATCCTTTTAATACAGAATGGATAATATTCATATACTTGTATACCTCAGTAATACTGCAAGTTCAGTTCAAGATCACTGCAGTAAAATGAACATTGCACTGAAATGAGTTACATCAATTTTTTTGTTTCCCTGTGCATGTAAAAGTTATGTTTACATTATGCTGTATGCAATAGCAGTAGAAAACTTAGAGAATTATCAAAATGTGACACGTAGACACAAGAGGAGCACATGCTGTTGGAAGAATGGTGCCTATAAGACTTGTTTCAACATTGGGTTGCCACAAACCTTCCATTTATTTTCTGTTTTTTTTAAAAAGGCAGTAAAGCAGTATCTGCATAGCACGACACAATGAGGTATACCTATAGTTCCACTACTTAAATACGAAATCTTTTATCTTTGGCCTATACCAACCAGTAAACCCATTAACATCAAGTCAGTTCCAACTCATGGTGATCATGTGTGTGTCATAGTAGAACTATGCTCCATAGGGTTTTCAATGGCCGGTTGTTCAAAAGTAGGTCGCCAGGCCTTTCTTCCAAGTTGCCTCTGGATTTGAACCATCAACCTTTCGTTTACTTATCAGCCAAGCATGTTAACCATTTGCACAACCCAGGGAACTCCTTGCCTATCCAACTGTCATTTATTAGTCCTTAAAATTTCTCCAACATTGAGAAATGTCTTCTAGCAAAAGGATTCCAACCTTCATAAAACAGGAGTGGAGAGGGTAGGAGGGGTTGTGTGGGTATCTGTGCATACATGGAAGCCCATACATATTATGTATTTCAAGAAGATTAAATATAATGGTGTTCAAAAATTCATGGAAAAATCGAGTTGAAAGATAATGGAACTTTTCCATGAATTTTTTGAAGCCTTCTTATACAAAGAGTCCCTGAATGGCACAAATCATTACACACTAGAGTACTAACCAAAAGGTTGACAATTCAAACCACGGCTTTGAATTCAATTCATTCTGGTTTAACCCCCTGCTAGTAATTTGAATTTCCACTCCACATATATATAGAATCAGAATCTACATTCTAACAAGAATCCCTTCCCCGCCCCCCAGGTGATTCTTATATATACATAAGCTCCTGTTTAAAATACAGATTCTGATTCAGTATGTTTTGAGTGGAAAGACAGATTCTCAGCAAGGACCTGAACCAGAATGAACTGGTTCAAAGCCCTGCTTCAAACCCACCTACAGGTACAGGTGCCTCAGAAGGCCTGTCAATCTGCTTCCAAAGGTCACAGCCTTGAAAACCCTATGGAGTGCAGTTCTACTCTGCATGCATCTGTTGCCACAAGTTGTAATCAGCAGCAACTAATTAGTTAAATACAGAGCTATTGTATACTATACCTGTAGGACAGAAGAGGAAAGTTTCTGGCTCTCCAAGGTATTGATAGATTTCATTTGTGATGGAGACCTGGGCATGAGCAAAGGAACTGAATACCTCTTTGTCTGCTGCACACATATTATGGTCAATATCATCAAAAAGCAAGGCAAATGATCTGCACCCAAACTGAGAAACCTTTAGAGAGACAAAAGCAAGACATTCTACTAGTTGATCTTAAAGATAAAAATACAAGGTTCTAAATGTTAAAGTATACAGGTAATAGCTTAAAGTCAAATATCTTTAGTAGAATGTTTAAAGACAGACCTATAGTTTTTATATTTCCAGTGGAAAAAATTCCAAGTTAAAGATCTAGACAATAGTTTAGTTACCTATCTTTCATTTGTGTCTAGATATAATATGCCTATATGGTCTAACAAACTTCCTGTAATAAAGCACCTCCCTGGGTGCTGATTGCAGAATACCAACCAACAAGAGACAGAAAAATACTAAAACAAGAAACAATAAGAAAATTCAAGGAATGAAAAACCCCAGGCCTTTACCCTAGTCATAAAAGGCATAGTAATCCGAACTAAACCTTTTGTTGTTGTTGTTGTTGTTGTCAGGTGCCATCGAGTCGGAACCGACTCATAGCGACCCCATGCACAGCAGAACGAAACAATGTCCGATCCTGGGCCAACCTCACTACCGCTGCCACACTTGACGCCATCAATGATGCCACCTGGCCGATCCATCTCGTTGGGGGTCTTCCTCTTTTTCTCTGACCCTCTCCACCTGACCCAGCAGGACATCCTTCTCCAACGATTGTTCCCTCCGGACAATATGTCCAAAGTAGGAGAGACGAAGCTTAGCCAATTTGTCTATGAATCATGTGGAATTCGATCAAATAGGGAAATGCCCTCTTAAAAGCGCACTCATAAAACTTTTCACTGCCTTAAAATTTTTACCCAGCCATTTTAATGACACAAATAATATAAATCTCTGCCTACAGAAATTAAGAAGGAGCTCTGGTAATACAGTGGTTACAAATCAAGCTGCTAACCTCAAGGTCGGCAGTTCAAAACTACCAGCTGTTCCGCTGGAGAAAGATGAGGCTTTCTGCTCCCGTAAAGATATGCAGCCTCGGAAACCCTGTGCAGGGTCACAATGAGTTGGAACCAACTCCACTATACTTAACAACAACAAAAATAGAAATTAAGAAGTTCTGGTATAGTGCTACAGGATGGATAAGCACTGGATTGCTAACCACAAGGTTGGCAGTTCAAATACACTAGTTGCTCCTTAGAAACTACAGGGTTGCTATGAGTTGAAATGACTCACTGAAAGGTAACAACTACAAATATTAAACACTTACCAAAAAGTGGATGCCTTAAGACTTTACAAAAACAGCTTTTATGTTCATTAGAATTTGGAATACAATTAGGTTCCCCCAACAGTTTTTCTTTTCAGTTTGAGAAACTAGCCAATCATGTTGACTTTTATCCATATAAATGAGGGAATTGATGTCTAACAGGTTAACGTCCTGTTTCTATAAACTCAGTTAAATTGAGTAAAGCACCCAAGAGTATGTTATCAATTTCCCAAAATGTGGTCTGGAATTAGAATCTCAGAATCACCTGTATTCTTGGTCCCCACTCCAGAGTAGCACTTCTAGGAAGAATCTAATAGCCAGCATTCTTTTGAGCATTAACGCCTGAGCAATCTTTTAAAGCAATGCTTATGCAAACAGAAGTCTGGGAAGCCCTGGGACCACTAGTAAAGTTTTTCCTACTTACTTTGAAAAACTCCTGTTATCAGAATCATTCAAGTAAAAAATTCCTAAAGAAACAAGGGTAATTCTGGTTTCCTTTTAACATCATAAAAATAACTCAGAGAACATTAAAGTTTCAAGTACTGTATCAGGAAGCATAATTAAAAAGCAAGGATCTTACCTGGTCCAGTTTGCGTTTCAATGTAGATACTTCTTTAGGGTTAGAAAAGGTTATATCTAATCCAGGTGAAATAGCATAGATGAACTCTATCTCATATTCCCGTGCAGCAGAGATCAGAGTCATAAGTTGCTCTAAAGAAGAGAGTCCATGTTTTCATAAAACAGCACAGAAAATGAAAAGAACCTTCAACATTGAACTGAAGATAATATTTTCTAATTTACAGTGAAACAAGAAAGGAAAGTCCCTTTAATTTTATAAAATTGTTATGTTCAACACAACAGGCCATACAAAATGGCACAAGCCTAGTATAATTTAGTGTCATAGTAAAGAAAAAAAGAACTAGTTTTTACATCTTTACAAAATTGGCCCCCCCCCTTTCACTTCCAAATAGTTTCTTACCCCTTTTTGTGAAACAAACCCAAAACAATATTTTTTTGTTGCCATTTTTCCAAAAAAAATGCCAATTCATAGTGAATCTCATTTTTATTTTGTACAGCATTTGAGATTTTTTTTTGTTCTTTTTGCCATCTCTAAATAAATGAAATTTCTAAAACAAACCTACATATAACTATTTATAATTTAGAATGGAGAAAATTCTTTCTTCAGAATCAGTTAAGAGATAGTACGAACAACCCTGACTCCTCATCTTTAGACCCAAAGAAAAAACATTCATTGCAAATCTTCAAGCTTTTAAAATGTGGCAAGACTCTTTCCTAAATAAATATAAAACGTCTATTACTTCATACAACAGGACATAGCCTTAAATTACTTTCATGTGTATCTCAAGATAGTCATTTGATCATTTTTTGATTTTTGAACACATTAAATTTCATTACCAGCACCACCAGAATATGATAAAGTTGAAAATACACTTAAATTATATACAACAGTAAAAAGTAATAGTAAGAGACAGGGTAAGTTCTAATTGTTTCTTCATAATTCTAGAACACTTTTCTGCTTTCAATCCTTTGAACAGGCTTGGTAACCAGGTTCTCTTGATAGGTGCATGTATATACCATTTAAATTCTAAGCACAATAATGTTTCCTAATTCACTTAAATCCGCAAAGAAAAGCAGTGCTTGTTCTAACTTTACAGAGAGGTTCTCTAATGTACTACCTTATTTATGAACTAAGAATACATGTAGCAAGAATAATTGTGATGATTTTACACTTCTGTAGTTCTGGACAGCCGCAAGGTCTTTATTTTAAATAATGACAGGACTAGTATTAGTGCCATGCCAAGCCACACTGGAGTCTGGAACAAAAGATACAATCAATAATACCAATCTCCTCTCTTTACTCAAAGCTATTATATTTTGTTCACTGTGGATTTTAAATTTTTGAATTAATTTTGATTTTCAAAAATATTGCATGAAATATTATTTATCTTGATTACTGACTTTTTTAGCTCCTTAAATTTTGTGATCAAGGAGAATACCTCACTTGCCTTGCTCTAGGCTTGGCCCTGCTTCAGCACCACTTTGCCCAGCAGCCCACTGCTTAGAATGCTGGTTGAAAGAGAGAGTACAATTTATGACCAGAGAACAGTCAGATTGGGTTCACCCATTAATCACATTAATAGCCTTAACCTTGTTGGTGCCACTCATATGTCAATAACTCACATTAACTAAACAGTTATCAGGTAAAAGCAGGGTAACTACTATAAAATGAAAGTAAAATATTTAATAAAATACTCGTACAACTACATTTAAACTATAGCTGTTTTTCTTCACATATTCTGAATTTAAGGATCAAAATGAAAAAGATTACCAGCTTCCTCAACTGAATACATCTCTCGCCAAAACATCCTATGTTTGTAGTCGTCTTTTGGAGCATACAAGTATGTATTTAGTTCCCATTTCTGGAGCCTTAGAGGAAAGAAAATTCTATGTGTCAATAAGCAACATTTATAGACTATAAATTTCAGACTTTTCCTTTCCTGAAGTGTGTCTCTCTCAAAACAAAGCTAATAATATTCTGGGACAGTGCTTATTATCCTTTTTTAAGTCCACAGAACTTTAGTAAAAACACAGTAACACTGGGTGAGTTCGGTGAAGCTTAAAACATATTCAGCTTCCCCAGGATAAGTTTGAAGTAAAAACCACTGGCCTAGGTGACGAAATGAAAGACCAAGGCAAAATTAACGTCTACAATTAAGATCATCAAAAACTGTACTCAACTTAGTCAATGTTAGTAATTTCTCAAACAAAAGGAAAAAAAAAATCAAAGATTCTCCTAATTTACCTTCTAAAGAGTTCTTTTCTCTGTTCCATAATCCAAGGTCTTCCATAAAATCCTATATTCAAAGCATACATTAAATTATTTTCCATTTCAAAACATGATAAACTGTTTTTGGAAAAAAGCATGATATACATATAATGCAATCCCATCTTGCAAAACTGCAATATACCAAAATCTGAAGACTACTACCAACAACAACTGTAAAATACTAAGGGTGGTGACATCATGAAGTGACTTTTTTCCATTTCTGCATACGTAAATTTTTTTTTTCTACCACAAACATTACTTTGTTGTTGTTGGTAAGTGCTGTAGAGTCGATTCCGACTCATAGTGACCCTGTATAGGGTTTTCCAAGGAGCTGGTGAGTTTGAACAGCCGACCTGGAAATTCAAACAGACCTTATGGTTGAGTGCTTATCCTACAGAGCCACACTAGGACTTTATTACTTATGCAATAGGTATTTGAAAATGGGTAAACCATATAATGGTTTTTCATTGCCAATAAAAAAGCAAACAATATTTTATTTTAACTCTTTAAAAGAGAATTAATTCTTAAAATGGGGAAGGAGGAGCAAAGCTATAAAACTATTACAAACAACAATTACTTCCTAGGAGAATTAAGTTGCTTTAGAGGGGCGAGAGGAAATAAAGTGGGAAATGGATCAGGAAAAGTAATCTAGAAAGGAATCTGACTGGCCTAACTTTTTTTAAGTTTCTGATATAACCAAAGAAACCAAAAAATGACTGAAACCAAATTCACAAGAAATTTAGCAACAGAGTTGGGGCATATAGGAAACTCCCAAGCAATCTCAATTCTATAGCAAAGGTTTAATTTATTTTTTAAATTATGGTTTAGGTAAATGTTTACAGAGCTAATTAGTTTTCCATTCAACAATTTAAATACATTTTGTTCTGCAACATTAGTTGCAATTCAAAGCAAAAATTTTAACTGAAAAATTAACACTGTGACTTATTTCAGAAGAGAACAGAGCACTAGTAATACACACTGCCTGATACAAACGCCAGACTAATACTGGGCTCCACCATAGACATTGCATCCTCACTCCTCTGCAAGTGTTAAGAGCAAGCTCTGAGATACCATGCAGATAGTTAACAAAACATTTTGAACATAAAATGCTTTTTAGACAAGCACAGTCTCCACATTAAGAGACTAACCTACAACTGAAATTCCTGCTATTTGTTTAAGCTCCAATCTCTATAGACAGAATTGTCACAAAAAAGAACAGCAGCAGACCGTGAAAAGCTCATTATATATTAAGATATGAAACTGTAGCATTTATAAGCTTGACAATTCAACGTAACCCTCTTATAACCTCTTCAATAAAACCTGTATAAATTTTACCTAAACAAGAATATTAAAAAACCACCTATTGGGAGTCCTGGTGTGGCACTACAGGTTAAGCACTGGACTGCTAACCACTCTTTTAAAGGGGTCCCTGTCCTTTCAGAGTAGCCCACCAAAGGTGGATGAAGCTATCAGCAACTGTCTAGCACATGGAGTACAAAAGGTCAGTATTTCAAACCCACAAGCCATGCCTTGAAAATCCTACAGAGTGTCACTATGAAACTGAATCAACTTGACAGCACCTAACAATGTTGTCTGTCCTAAGTGCCCTCAAGTGGATCCAACACCTAGAGACCACCCTTTATAGGCTTTCTGAGGAGCAGCTGGTGAGTTTGAACCACCGACCTTGTGGTCAGCATTCCAGTCCTTATTCTACAGTACCACACCAGGACTCCAACAACTTAAATATTCTTAAAGCACTTAGCATTGTTAATTTTTCTCTTATGGGCAACAATCATTAAACATCCATTTTAACAAAAAAATCTTTCCAGTGCTTAACATCTTCAGAAGCCCTAACTTCGCTTTTTTTTTTTTTTTTTTTGATAGACTGCCACCACAAATAGAAAGCAGAGCTATTACCATAAATTAAAACCAAAGGTTTGTGCAGGAAGGAAACAAAAAAGAAATTCTAGCAGTACCCTACATTATTTGCTATCCTTGTTCATTTTAGGAATGATGCCAACCAAAAACAACAATAAAAAGTCCAGTGTAGATTTAGGTACTCAGTCACCAAAGAAATATAGAAGGATTCAGTGGGGAGGAGCAGAATACAGAATTGAAGACAACTCTAGTGGAGTCCTGGTGTGGTGCTGTAGGAAAAGCACTGACTGGACTGATAACCACTAGTTCAGCAGTTCAAACCCACCAGCCACTCTTTGGAAACCCTATTGTTTATGCTGCTGTAAAGTGCCATTCAGTAGGTTCTGACTCAAAGCAACCCTGTGGTTTCCAAGGAGCAGCAGTTGGGTTTGAACTGCGGTTCTTGTGGTTCAGAGTCCAGTGCTTATCCTACAGTGCCACACAAAACCCTAAGGGTCAAACCAACTCCTTAGCACTTAACAATTACTCTCCAGCATAGGAATAGTTCCCTGGATAATGACAAAGATCGGGTAAGAACAGAGATCTCAGCTCCTAAATGTGTCTTTTAAGTTGAAATTGTAACTAAGTCAGAACAGGTATATTTGGTTCCTATTTAGTCTTATTTTAGTGCAAGAAAAGGCTGCAACCTTTTCAGTGATTTAAAAGCTCACTGGCAGCAAATGAAGAATTGTTTCCAGTAGGGGTTGGGCTCAATTCTTTCAAAGTGAGGGTAAATTTACATAAACATTAAAGGGCAACTACTGGCACTACAGGACGCAGCCTCTCCCCAGAAACTATATGGGGTAGCTCTGAGACTTGAAGGCACTTACACTGGTAATGAAGTTGGATGGTAAGCAAATTGGGTGATTTCTAAAAAAACAAACCAAATTACATAAACCAGGATGAGCTTTTTTCTCCATAATTTAACAAAGGCATAGCAAGAAGACAAAAGTTTCCTTAGAAACTCATTGCAATTTAACTTGAAAATTCCTATATTCCCTGCACTCTACCAACTTAAGATCTTTGATGATAAAATACAATCTTTTTATAGAATCTGAGTATACTCAAACCAGCCCAATAAATAATTAGCTAGTAATTCACAAAGCTGTCATTGTTTTCATAATCACCGGACTACAAACCATAAGGTCAGAGGTTCGAGCCCACCAGCTGCTCTGCGGGAAACCAATTCTGTTGGTTTTCTGTTCCTACAAAGATATTCTGCCTCAGAAACCCTATACAGGGTGGCTACCTAGTCAGAACTGACACTTAACACATTTAACGAAATAGAAGCAGTTGTCTGTCCTCCCAAATTCTCCAAGATCGTTAACTCTATGCTAAACAGACTGCTTTACTCCCTGTTGTAGTCTGTTCTCTCATTACCATAAAACTTTATTTAAAATACTATAACCACTACCCATCTTTCAAATGAATCCTCTACACACTGTGAAAGCTGATGCTCTCAACCAGGAAGCCAATCCTTCTTTTCTTTCCCTTGTTTGTGCTTTATAAGACTCATTTAATACAAAGTTACTTACTCGTGTGCACATCATTACATAGAGAAAGAAAAGTGAGACAGCTAAACAGTTCTGGGCCGACTTCAGAAAATTCATATGCCGAACTGCAAGAGCTACTATAGAAGATGGGTAGGTTATTTGCCCGTTCATATTCAGAATTGAGATACAATCCTTTGGTAATTGTCCTCTGTTGTTGTTGAGTGCCATGGAATCGGTTGGGACTCAGAGACCCAGTGTAGTGTTTCCAAGGAGAGACTGGTGAGTTTGAACCGCTGACCTTGTGGTTCAAATTGACCTTGCAGTACTGCGCTTATCCTACAGCGCCACACCAGGACTCCATTCCATCATTTCTTTTTAACTGGATATGGGAAGGAAAAAGGCGAGGACTGCAGCCTCTTCTATAACTTCTAAACGGAATTCTTGAGAATCTGTTATCAAAGTCAAAGCATCATCCCTTGGGGGGGCAGGAGGAAGTACAGTAGTTGGTAAAGAGGGCAGTTTTCGAGGCTGCAAATGAACCTTCAAAGCGTGGGGGCTGGGCAACAAAAATTTTCTAAACTCAGAGAAATCTGTAATGCCACAGTGCCCAGGAAATCACGCACGTCTGTGTGGTTGATCCCCCTCCCAAAAGGGTAGGGGCAAAAACACGATACCTTTTTTTTTTTTTAAACAACTGAATGCAGAAAACACTACATAATATAAGTAAAACCCTGAGCCTAATATCAAGTTCTTTACCGATCGCTTCCTTCGAGTAAGCCTGGCTCCAGGCCCAGGACGGGTGGGGTCAAGTCTGCTAATAGCCAGAAGGGAATTTTGTGCCATTTCAGAACGTGAGAGGCTACCCCACCGCATGTTTTCTGACCTACCAGGCTAATCCACTAACCAGCTGCAACAAAGTCAAGGCTCCAACTCATGGTGACCACCATGTGCGTCAGAGTAAACTGCCCGACAAAGGGTTTTCAATGGCTGGTTTTCCGGATGTAGATGATATGGATCGCCAGGCCTTTCTTCCGAGGTGTCTCTGCAAGGACTAGATTCTCCAACGTCTCCGTTACGAACGGCTTTATACTACCCAGAAACACCAACATTTTAGAACCCCTTAAAGCACAGGGTCGACTTCACCCAGTGACACCTCCAAAGAATCTTGAAAATCCTAAGGGGCAGTTCTACTCTAAAGACTCGTAGCTTTAAGTAGGAATGGACTCCGCAGCAACTAAGTATTATGCTCCATCCCCCAGGGCGCTCCTCCTTCCGCGCCAACAACCCCTCCTCCAGAGTAGAAAACAAAAAATCCAAACCGTGGTCTTAGAGTCCGTTCCGACTCATAGTAGAACTGCCCCAATAGGATTTACAAGGCTGTCATCTTTACGAGAGCAAACATCTTTCTCCCCTAGAGCGGCTGATGGGTTCGAATTCGCAGACGAGAGCTTAACCGCTGCGCAACCCGGGTTCCTCCACGAGGAAAGAATGTGTTAACACTGGGGCGTAAAGAAGGCACTTCGGCCAGCCCGCGCCAGGGCGCTCACCTTCCACCACGCCACACAGGAATCTCCGAGCCCCTCCGGCCGCCCCGGCCACCGCTGCTCCCGAAGACCCAGTCGGGTTGTCATCTCCAGAAGCCTGAGCTGCCGGCGTTTCCAACGGTGCCCCCGCGGAGGCGGAGGCGGCTGCAGGATTGGAATTGAGCTCGCTCTCCTGTTCCTCCAGCGCAGCCTGGCTCTCCTTTTGCACCATCCTCCTGCCTCCGGCCGCCGCCACCTCTGCAAGTCCTCCTCGGTCTCCGTCCGTTGGGCCTCTGGCCCGGAGCCCTGGAAAGGGCCTAGGCTCCGTGCGCGCGCCCTTCCGGCTCCTTCCCTTCCCCCTCTGCCCTTCCCCCCTCCCTCTCCGCAGGGGCCCGGATGAGAAGGGCGGCGGCACCAGCGTGAGCCCTTTGTCAGCCGCAGCCTCAGCTGGGAAGCCGGGAGCCGGAGCGGAAAGCGAGACTGGAACCTCTTTTTCTCTGAAGGCAAATGGCCAAAGCTCCTTTTCTCGTTCTTGGTTAGCCTCTGTTACCCTCCTAATTATCTCCGCCTTCTACTGTTTCCCCAACGAACCCCCTAGATCTCTTCTGCCTCTGCTCCTACCGCCCGCTTCCTGTTTATCCGCACTGCGCCTGCGTCGCAGACCGGCTCAGACCGGTCCCTTCAATCCGGCTCCCCCTCCTTTTGGGTCAGCCCATTAAACCTCATTCGGTAGGGCAGACTAGAACATAGAGCACGCGAAAAGCTGATGGTAACGAGAGCAATGGGATGTACCACTTACGATTACCACCCTCCAGATCGAGCCAGGCACCCTGGGACGGACCATTACCCTACTCGAAGAAGGGGAGTATGGGAGAAGGCTGCGCCCAGTTAGGGCAATTGGGAGAAGGGGGTAGGGTGAAAAAGAGAGGTGTTTACTTTCTCAATGCGCAGGCGCGGAAATGAAGCCTCTAATTCTTAAAGAGATAGGAAAATACTGACCTACTTTCTCTTGAGATGCTCCTAATAGGTTGACTCATTACATCTGTCCCGCCCAGACTCAGTTCTATGAAGACACTACTTCAAAGAACTCAGTTCATCGCCTCGAGTCATTGTCTCCTATCCCCAACCTGGCGCTAACCTTATTTAAAAATGTGGTCATTCGTTAATTTCTTCACACCGCAGACACCTACTGAACTTGCCTCGTTTTTGACTCTGGGGCTACTATGAGCTCACAGTGTTAGGGAGGAGACCAGCAAGCGCACACACTCACCATGCTGTATACCCACGTGTTGGAGGAGCCCAGTTAGAGCATAACTCCTTTGAAGAGAGGTGGCTGTGGCTTTACATTTGAACTGGATCTTAAAGATTGAGTAGAAGTGAGTAGGAAGGAACTCTGGTAACGTAGTGGTTACGAATCGCGCTGCGAACCTCAGGGTCAGCAGTTCGAAACTACCAGCTGTTCCGCGTAAGAAAAATGAGGCTTTCTGCTCCCGTAAAGATTTACAGCCTCGGAAACCCTTTGCAGGGTCACTAAGAGTCGGAACAGCCTCCACTGCACGTAACCACCGAAGGTTGAGTGAGGAGCGAAAGAGCGTTCTATCCAGAGAAGTCCGAGCGACCGTGTATAGGTTTTCCGAGGAGTGGCTAGTGAGTTTGAACCACCGACAGTGGTGTGGTTCAAACCGACCTTGTAGTCAAGTGCTTATCCTTCCACGCCACACCAGGACTCCACAGCAAAGGTAGGAGACTTGAAAAGGCCACACTTCTTTGAGGATGGGGAGCTCCTCCTCAATACATTGAGGAGAAAATGGTTTCCCAGGAGAAACCTCGGAACCATAGGTAGATTCGAGTCCCTTTGCTGTATGTTCTTAAAGCTCCCTGTACTTCTATCATAAGGCTCTTTACACTTACTTTGATGGAAAAATCTGTCTCAATTTATGGGACAATATTTTTCTTCAAAGATTGTTGAACCCCTCTCGAGTACATAAAAATATAAGCATCTCAGTCACAATGTGATTATTATAACTTATTATTACGCTACCATCTATCTGACACTTCAGAGAAGCTCTGGGGGTGCCGTGGTGAAGAGCCCGCTGCTAATCAAAAGGTCAGTAGTTGGAATCCACCAGCCAGCTTGCTCAGAGGGAGAAAAATGTGGCAATCTGCTTTCATAAAGATTCTCACCCACTGCCATCGAGTCAATTAAGACCAATAGTGTCCCTGTGGTGGGGGTGGTAGTTGTGTGTCTTGTGCCGTGGAGTTGGTTTCTACTGTATAGGGTTTCTGAGGTTGTAAATCTTTACGGGGAGCAAGCTTCCGGTAGAAGCGTCATCTTTCTCCCGCGGAGCTCCTGGTAGATTTGAACAAACTGGCGTTGCAGTTAGTAGCCCATCTCTTAACCATCTATCCCTATCGTAATAGTAGAACTGCCCGAGTAGGTGCCAATCCTATATGGAGCAGCTGGTTAGTTTGAACTACCTACCGTTGGTTACCAGTCAGGCTGCTATCCTCAAGGTCAGGAGTTCGAAACTACCAGCTGTCTTGCGGGAGAAAGATGAGGCTTTCTGCCCCGCCTAAAGATTTACAGCTTAGGAAATCCTGTGCAGGGTCGCTATGAGTCGGGAACGACTCCATAGCACATCGCCATCACCTTGTGGTAAGAAGCCCAGTGCTTAACTCACTACACCACCAGGGCTCCTTCCATAAAGACTGTTATTAAATGCCATCCAGTCAGTTCCAACTCATAGCTACCATGTATAGGGTTTCCAAGGAGCAGCTGGTAGGTTTGAACTGCCAACCTTGGTGGTTAACAGCCCAGTGCTGGTCCTACAGCAACACACTCTGACTCCAACATATAAGTTGCAACCTTGGAAACCTTGAGTCAGTTCAACCCTATCTTATAGAGTCACTCTATGGAAATCAATTTAACAGCAATGGATAGTTGCTGCCTCACCCTTCAACCTGGTATTATTCAACTCCTCCCCTTCTCTAGCCCAGGGACTCTTCTTTTTAGTCTTGGAATGTTGAGATGGGGGTTGCTGCTGCATGCTGTGGAGTTGGAAACCCTATACAGAGTTACTATGATAATATTTAACAGCAACATAGGGCTTCAAAGGCTGTTAATCTTTATGGGAGCAGAAAACCTCACCTTTCTGTGTAATTCAAACTGCTGACCTTGTGGTTAGCAGCCCAATGCATACTCATTGTGCTACCAGGGCTAGCAGGAGGAAGCCTTTTCTTAGGGGAGCTTCCATGATAACAGCTGAGGGCCAGAAGCAATTTCACTGGGTTTTGTGGTCCCTTGGGGAATTTGGGGGTTGATCTCATGACACTTACACCTCACACTGTAGCAACTGCAAGTCAACATCCCCAATTTCATCTACTCTGCACTGACTAACTCTGGGGAAAGATCCACATTCCATATCTAAACCTCTCAAACTTCAGCTGTGGTCTTTGCCCCCGACACAAGTGCCACACATTTTCTCTCCACCCCTGACATCTAGGATAGAAACCGGTGCTTAATAAGTAGGCCCATGATCAGTATTTGTGGAAACATAACAGACTTAGTCCAATCACAGGAACCCAGTTTATAAGTGCTATGAAAGGAGAGTGAGCAATGTGATGCCGAGGAGCTGCAGTGAGACTGTTCCAGACCAAGTTTGATGGTGCTGGTTCTGATTCATGACGACCCTATATAGGGTTTTCAAGGCTGTAAATCTTTTCAGGAGCAGAAAGCTTCAACTTTCTCCCATGTAGATTTGAATTGCTGACTTTGCAGTTAGCAGCCCAACTCATAATCCACCCCACTAGCAGGACCCCTTACACATGGGGGCACAGCAGTGGAGACAGGGAGGTACATCTTTAGTGGTGGAACTGGTGACTGATTAAATAGGGGTGGGGCAGAGTGAAGAAATGAAGATTCCTTTTTTTTTTTTTAATATTTTATTTTGCATATTTCAATGCTGCTGGTATTAGGTGCTGTCAAGTAGATTCCAACTTATAATGACAGTGTAGAATTTGCCCATGGGAACTTCTTAGCTACTATCTGATCACCAGGTGCTTTTCCCAGGGGTTGCTGCTGTTGCTACCTGCTGACACGTCAGTTCCAACTCATAGTAATCCTGTGTAGAATTTCCAAGGAGCAGCTGGTGGGCTTGAACCTCTGACCTTACAGTTAGCAGTCCAGTGTTTACCCAACAGGACTACACACCAAGACTCCACGGGGTTGCTAGGTGGGTTCGAACCACCAACTTTTTGTTTAGTGGCTGAACATTTACCCACTGCACCACCACGACTCCTTGAAGAGTAGGTGAATGTTGGTGTCTCGTACTGAGATAGGAAAGACTGGGAGGGCATGATGTTCTAAGTAAAAGACACTAACAACCGCTTAATTCCTCAGATCCAAATTTTTAACATGTTAAGTTTAGTTCCAGTTTTCCATGTAAACTTTGAGAAATCCATTACAGGTCCACATGGAGATGTTAAATAAGCAACTGGATATATTGGTCTTAGGGCTCGGGACTCATAGAGTTCTGCAAATATAAACTTAGGAGTCTTCTGCATATAGATGAGATGGTATTTAAAGCCATGGGACTGGGTGCTATTTGAAGAAGATCAGATCAAACCATAGCCCTCCCTTCCCCACCCCTACATTGAGAAGGATGAGTTTGCAAGGAAGGGCTGAGTAGAGGTGGCCAAAGAGGTAGGAGGAAAACATTGAGTATGACATACTGGAAGATGAGAGAGGAGGAGAATTTTGAGATAGACCAGCTGCCAATATTCAGATTCCAGCCAATGACTGAGACAAAATGATCAGAATGCCAATCTGCTGGGTTTTTCTAAATCCCATCTGTGTGTCCTGGCTCTGAGGCACTTCTCACCCCTTAGCAATTCTGTGTCAGCCTTCAACTTCTCTGAAGCTTGATTCTTTCCTAAAAAATGGAGACTCTATGTCTGATCTTGTTATATACATACTCACTGTGTTCATTCATTTAATCATAATCTCTTAAAATTTTTTGTTGTTGAGACTATACACAGCAAACCATACACAAATTAAAGTTTCAACGTGCTCAATTCAGTGACATTGATTACAACCTTCAAGTTGTGTAACTATTCTCATCCTCTTTCTCTGAACTGTTCTTCCCTCAAGTTCTATCTAGTCTTGTGAGTTGCTGTTGCCAGTTTGATATCATATAGATAGCACTGTAGAATGCTGGACTGCTAACAGCACAGTCAGCCGTTCAAATTCACCACTCACTCCACAGGAGAAAGATGAGACTGTCTGCTTCTGTAAAGACTTATAGCCTCAGAAACTCTATATGAGTTGACTATGAGTCAGAATGGCCTCAATCACAATCTGCAGATAGTTATTAAAAGAGCATAAGGCTCAAGGTAGACATTTGTTTTTACTAGCTAAGAGAAACTACGGTTTGGTTTTAAGAACACTTTATGGAATATTTTTGGTTTAAGGTTTAAAGATGATCTCAGGGCAATAGTGTCATGGATTGAATTGTGTCCCCAAAATATGTATCAGCTTAGGTATATAAGGATTCTCAGTAGGTATGGCAGTTTATAATAATTAATCATCCCTCATGATGTGATCTGATGTCATCAGTCAATCAGTTGTAAGGGAATTAAGGTAGGATGCAACATCCTTACTTAGGACATTGCCCTGATCTGATGTAAGGGACGTTTTCCTGGGGTGTAACCTGTATCACCTTTTATCCTAGAAGAGCTAAAAGGAGTGCACAGAAAGGGGAACCCTCAATGCCACCAAGAAAGCAGAGCCCAGAGTGGAGCACATCCTCTGAACCTGGGGTCCCTGCACTGAGAACCTCGTAGACCCAGGGGAAGATTGATGCCCTAGAGCTAGCACCCTGAATTTGGACTTTTAACCTCAACTGGGAGAGAATAAATATCTACTTGTTAAAGCCATCCCTTCCTGGTATTTTTGTTATAGAAGTACCAAATAAGTAAGACAAATAGTTTCAGGGGTTTATCCAAACTCCATGACTCCAGAAAATCTGGAATCCATGAGAATTTGAAGTTCCATTCTGTATATTCCCCCTTTTAAACAAGATTCTTTTTCAGAATCTTTGATCAAAATGTTCAGTACTAGTACCTGGGCACCATCTAGTCCTTCTGGTCTCATGGCAAAGAAGGCAGTTGTTTATGGAGACAATTAGACACACATCAATTACCTATCATGTGCCAGGTCCTGGGGACAGTTATCTAGTGCTTGTATTAACATAAATACCACAAGTGGATGGCTGGAACAAACAGACCTTTATTCTCTCACAGTTTAGAAAGCTAGAAGTCAGAATTCGGGGTGTGAACTCCAAGGGAAGGCTTTCTCTCTCTCTCTCTGTGACAGTTCTGAGGGAGATATATCTAATTTTTTTTCCCCATAACCAGCCATCCCACATAAGTAAACTGACCAACTGAATGTGAGTTTCACAAACACACAACCCAATAGTACACAAATATATACATACTAAATTTAAATGAAAATCTGTCTTTGAAATCTCTTTTTCACTCTTGTACCTGATGCTGTCATTGAATTTGACACCTGTTCTATTTCTGGTAAGCAAGAGAAAAAATATAAAATCCTTCATTAAATATTTGGCTTGCATTTGCAAGTTATTGATCCAGTATTATGGAAAGTTGTTTTTTGTTTTTTGTTTTTTTCTTGTAGTTTTATCACTTAAGAGGAGTTGTGACTCAAACCCAAGGACTGAAGAAGCAGATGGTTCTGTGGTCATGTGAGTAGGGAACACAGCTGACAAAAGGAAGGACTCAGAAAGTGAGTTCTTCTTCTTGGACTCTGTACTCCGTTGACCTTGGCAATGTGTACAGTGAGACTGAATAGAATGTAATCTTTCGGGGGATGGTAAGGCTTGATCATCACATAGTACCCAGAGGGTCATTGGTGGCCCCTACCCAAGAGCCAAGTGAAGAAAGATTCCCACCCCACACAGGAAGTCTCTTGTTACTCTTTTGGCCACCAGCCCCATCATGATCTATCCTGGGTCTACCCCATCTGATCTCTCCATATTACCTGACTGGGGTGTGGGCACATGTGCATATCCTTACTAGAGGCAATGTTGGGATATTTACACAAAAGAACTTCATTAGAAAGTAAAGGGTAAGTTAATTCACAATAAAGCATTAAAAAAAAAAGTGTAGGGTAAGTACTTCCCATCCCTAAAGAAAGCGCTTTGAGATTAAGAAGTCTGCAGAAGAGAAAATCTTGATTCAAAGGTAAAAATGGCTTGTTGGAGGTATATGGCCTCTTCTAAGTTCAGGAGGGGAAGAGGAAATCATTATCAGCATCAATAGCTCAGGGTGTTTCTATGAAGGGAAAATGCAGTATAGCTCTACCCTCCAGCCTTTTGTTTTTACTGATACTGACACGAGCCAGCCCTCCCAAGGCACTTTCTACTTCTCTGCTGGATTCAATAATTTGTTATAATGGCCACAGAAAACTCACAATTATGGGGTTTATTGGGGAAGTAACAGGTAACAATTCAGGATCAGAGGTGACTCACAATACAGTTCTTCCATGAGGATGGCCTCTTCTCAGCCGTGCTCATATGCAGGATTCCACTTGGTCCTTAGCCTCACAGCCATGGGATCTCTTGGGCCTGCCAGCCCAGCCTCTGCCCTGCTTGGGCAAAAGCTAACAAAGCTTTTTAACTATACCAGTAAGTCCCCAGAGGCACCCCATTCCAACAGTAAGCCTCCTGCCCCAACACACTCAGCTCTTTCACTCTGGGGGCTGGGAAACCCACTGCACCATCTCCTGGACTCCTGATTCTGCCGCCATTGCTTCTTGCCAGCTCTCTCCTAGGCTTAAGAGGGAGGGTCTCAGGGGTTTCTGGTTGAAAGGATGTTATCTGATCCTGTCTTTTCTTCTTGGCGGCAGTCAGGACATTATTATTGTCATGTCCTTTCTCCCTTGTTACTTCTCAGGATATAGAACAAAGATACTCTGTTGTGAATGGGAGGGTAATTCCCAGGGGGCCTCTCTGAGGTCCAGTGGGTTTCCAATCCTTTCCAGAACCTACAACTGTCTCCTGCCAATGTATGCCCAGACTATGGCTCCCCTGGAGAGAGACACTTCCCTGTGGACCTAAGAGACTGTCAGGGCTAGTGTATTGTAAGTACAATGAAAGAGACAAAAAGGCAGAAACAGCAGCCTGTGCATAGCCATTGTGTTTTATTGGATCTGGTGTATTTCTTATTTTACAAAATATACAGTAGAGTCAAAAATGCAAAGCAGTCAACAGGGTTCTGATGGGAAAAGGGGTTCTCTCCCTCAGACTCTGGCTGGTTGGGAAGGTGACTGAATGGGACAAGCAGATATATTCAGGGGTAGCAGCATGGCAGGGGTGCTGACAATGAGTTGACACCTGTGTTCTATGGTCCTTGCCCTCTAAGTGTATCGCATCTCTGAGCAGATTGGGGTAGAGCAAGAGGAAACCCTAGGTGGGACTAGAGGACGTCATGTAGGGGTTTGTAATGGAGACTGGGCTGATCTAAGAGTCTAATGAATACCTCCACACCTGAGCTCAGATGCAATGCCTGTCTCCTTCCTTCTAAAGCATTCACTGAGGAAATGATGGAATACAAAGTTCAGAAAGGTCCCTGACTTCCTCCATGTTTCCAAATTTAGAGGACATGGCAAATGAAAATCCAGAGCAATCAAAATGGGTAGGCTAAAACTTTGTCAGCAGGCATCAGTGAGGACACCTCCCTGCTACCACCACACAAACAGAAAGGAATTCCAGGAATGAGTCAAACATCAGGTTCTCTAGGGCTTGCTACTACTGGAGAGGGTGCAGGAATTATCTGGAGGGCTTCCAGGGAGATAGTCTTCTGAAGAGCCTGGTAATGTATATTCTGATGGCATGGGGTACCTGAACTCTCACTGACAGTCCAGGCTTTTCTGCTCTCTACTCCTGCCACCTTCTAGGACCTAACCTCTGGTCCACCATGTTCAAGACTCCTCCCTCTATATCCTTGTCTCTCTCCCACTGGGCTTTCAAAGACTGTTCTGAAAGGCTATCCTGAACATCTTCTCTGAGAAGAGAGTCTTAAGGGAAATGCTGTGAGATCAGGAGTGGGGGAGCACCATAGCAGGAGACATTCTGTCTAGTATTGTGGTTTCTACAGTGGGGTAGGAACTGGGGGTGACCATTCATTTCCTATACAGGAGTACCCTCAAGATGTACTCTGCTCATTCCTTAACCCCCCCTCACCTCTGGTGATCTGGGTTACTATATTCCCAGGTTCTTGGTTCCCTACAGCCCCCAGGGCAAGGCTTGGATGGGGACAGACCTGGGAAGAGAAGGGTGATGTCCACCTGGACAAGGGCTAGAGCATGGTCCACCCAGGACACACTGAACCCCTCTCCTGGGGAATTAGATGACATTGTCAAAGAGCTGCATGGACCTCATGATATTCTCATCCTGTGGCCATGATGTGAAGGAGGCAGATTGGAGAAAGAAAGAGAAAGAACTTGTCAGAGACAGGGAGAGAGACACTAAGTCAAAGATAGGGACATCCAGAAGTAGAGGCAGAGCGAATGGGAAAGCCTAGAAAGACCTAGGGTGGAAAAGGAGGCAGGCTTCTACCAATGGGATTCGGTGTGAGGATGGGTTGGGCAAGCTGTACTCTGTCCCAAGGAGCCTTCCCTTACATCACTGAAGTAGGCCCTGAGTCTAGATCAGGGAAGTGGGAGGGGAGGGTCCTGTACCTTTTGACAAGATTCAATGAACTCTTCAATGGTCACCACACCATCCTTGTTCCTATCCATTTTCTGTAAGAAGGTGGTCAGGCAGCAGAACAAGAGGGAGAACAAGAGAGAGACAGACAGAATTCAGGTAAGTTACTTGGTGGGTTCTTGCCCCTACCCCTTCACTCCAAAACCTTCCCACCTACCCAAGCCAAGGCACCTGAAAGAAGCTCTCCACATGTTCCCTTGGGGCCTCTTCCCGGAGTGCAGGGTATGTGTATTTGCCCATCATGTCATAGATGGATTTCATGATGTCAAGCATTTCCTGTTAAGCCAAGAGAGTAAAGGATCTCTCCTTAGATCATCCAGCCTCTAAACCAGGAGACCTGGAGTCTAGGACAGATCTTGCCCTTTGCTGGTGATGCATATATAGGTCATGTTTTTCCTCCCAGGGGCTCTTACTGTCCCCATACACACAGCCCCCAGCCCTTCAATTGCTTCACACCTCCTTGGTGATGCAACCATCCTTGTTGAGGTCATACAGGTTGAAGGCCCAGTTTAGCCTGTCGTCTATGGTTCCCCGAAGAATCACTGACAAACCAGCCACAAAGTCCTGGGAAGGAGGCAAGGGTAGATGGATCTTCAGATACCTTTCACCCAACCCCTCTCTATATTTGATCTGGAGATCCTTGGCCTGAAACCCCAGGAAACAGGCTTGCTTAACCCACCTCTCCCAGCTCACCTCAAAACTGACTGACCCATCATGATTGGTGTCAAAGGCATTGAAGAGAAAAGCGGCGTAGGTGCTGGAGTCTGTAGAGTGAGTGTGGAGAAGTTTAGCTTCCAGACAAGAGAACTTCCAACCCCTGTGGGGATCTCCCCAGCCCCTCCAGAACCCCCTCTCCCACTTGACCTCAAAATGGATAGCTGCAATATGACAGGCCTTGCCACCTCACCTCCTTGAGGAAAGAACTGGGAGTAAATCTGCTTGAAGTTCTCCTCATTGACAATTCCACTTGGACATTCCTGTGAGGAGATAGACCAGGCTGAGTGCAGACAAAACCCCTTTCAGTTGACCCCCCATCTTCCATGCTCAGAGACTCTTATCTTCATGCTTCCAAGGGACTCACCATGCAGCTCTTTGTACTAAAAAGCAAGACGAAACCCTAAACTAAACTGGAAATACACGGTTTCTTTGCTGACCCCCACCCCAGAAGTTCAGTCTGGTGGGCCTCCCTGCCCCGGTTTTCACAATTCCTGGGAAACCCTGGATAAGCAAGCCCAGCCCCAACTTGTACTCACATTCTTGAAGCCCCGATACAGGACCTGCAACTCCTTTCGTGTGAACTTGGTTTGCTCCTGCAGCTGCCTCAGACCCTCGGGTCGGTGACATACAGTAACCAATTCAAATTCATCCTCCACACTGTCTGCGGGGAGCAGTGAGGGGGACAGCAGAGCCTCAGCACCCAGCCTCGCGGCCCATGCATCCCTATTCAGAATCATCTACCCCTCCATCCCCCACTCTCCATGGCTGGAGTCGGCCGGTTTCCTGGACGCCCCCCACCCCCAGCAGAGCCAGGGAAATCAAGGCAAGCAGAAAAGACACTGGTGAGCTTTGAGGTCTATCAATGGGCTCAGTCCAAGGCCAGACCTGGCCCCAAAGCCAGGAATCCGACTCGGCGCTCACCCCTAGACCCTTTATCTCTGGTTGGAGGGGAAGGCCCCCCGTCCCATCTTTGTCTAAGAAAATGAGCAGCAAGAAAAATGGACTTGACAGCAGACATCTGAAAGTCCAAGTTTCAGGCCTTCTCTGATCTCGGATCCCAACTCTAGCCTAGCCCCTCCCAGAGTCTCCGACCCAGACAAGGCCTGTCCTTCCCGCCCAATTCCCAGCCATGCTCCACCCAGCCCAAGCCATGCGCCCAAGCCCCGCCCAGCTCCAGCCAAGCCCTGCTCAGAATCCCGCCTCTGACTAAGTCGAAGCAAGGGCTCCACCCCTGCCCCCACCTCAGCCACGTTCCAGGCCCCAACCCTTAGTCCCCAAGCAAGTGCCCCCCCAGTGCTCCCGAAGCCCCCTCCCGCCCCCTCCAGGAGAGTAAGTCACCTGGGTCCAGCGGACGGGGTCTGTATGGGTGGAGGGAGGCTGGGGCGGCTAATGCTGAAGGGAGCGAACTGTCACCGAGAAAGCGGAAGACCCGGGCACTGCAGACACACACCTGGCCCCTCACACTCAGTAAATCTCACACACCTGAGTGTTACAATGCACACACCCCAGCCCTGCGCGCAAAGGCACACGTAACGAGCACAGACATACACAAAACAGACCCCACGCACACATGCTTGTGGAATCCACGCCCCCTCCTTATTCTGAATCTCCTCTTGTATGGGACCCGGTAGCATCAAACAACAATACACTCAATACTTATAAAAAGGGCCTTCATAGTTTGCAAAATGCAGTATGGTCCTATGAGCTGAACAAGACCAGCTGAGGACTCTTAAGATTTAGAGACAAGGCGAGATCACTCAATTCTAAGTCACTCAGCTAGGGGCCGTACTGGAATTAGAAAAACAACGGAGGGCTACGTCCTCTACACCTGCATCCATCCTGCTGGTGACATACATTTCGAGGCCCAGAACATACCTAAGATCCTGGTCCCGCCCCCGTCACACTGACCACACCCACACAGGCTCAGGCCTCGGCCCTGCCACGCTAGCCACGCCCAAACACTCCGTCCGGTCAGATTCTCAGACCAGGGTCACCCACAGGCACTCTGGCCCGCCCGAAACTGGCCACGCCCATACATTCAGGCTTCATCAGCGCGCACAGTGGTTAACGCACCCTCACACTTGGGCTGGGCCAGTGCTTTGCCCACCCCCTGACACACTGGCCACGCCCACACGCACTCGGGCCCCGCCCCCGGAATCACAGGAGAGGCACTTGCTTTCACTGACTGAGGGCAGAGCTTGGGGCCCGCAGCACGGCAGCAGCTTGAGGAACCGCTGCTTCAGCGCTTTTTTAGTGGGCCCTGGAGGGTGGCCTGAGAAGAGAGAAGACCCCAGGAAGGCACATTAACCCCCATGGTCCCTCTGTCCCCTGTCCCCTCCCCACCAGTCACGAGGGCAAAGAGCTTTGAAGGGGACTGGGAGTGGAATGGCAGGGTACAGGGGACCAGGTTAGGGGAGCCTAGTGACCATAGTGGGTCCCACGAGTCTGGAAAAGCCATCAAGGAGTCTAGGCACTTTGTATAATGGGACGAAGCCTGGTGACATAATGACCACAAGCAGGTTGGGGGCAGTGGCTCTAGTGCCATGGGTGGATGGATCTTTTAGAGAGAGGTTCAACTCAGGGACTGCCTTATCTGTCTCTCTCACACATACAGTAGCAGGAATATAGAGTGAATACTCACATAAAATGAGAAATCACTTGAGGGATGCTAGACAGCAACAGCTTGATACTCAGTAACTCACTCACATCTGATGACTTTAGCAGGCCCCAAAACACACAAACGCACTTTGACCTAGCACTCGTTAACACAACACATACTAATAGGACCTAAATAAAACGTGATACACACACATAGGAACCTATACAGGTCATCTTAAACACACAGGGCATGATCAAACCGAACACACAATGGCCCTAGACCTTAGAGACACAGTATAACAAGGACACTATGACACATATACTGTGACCTCATAACATTATGACATGCAAATCAGGGTTACCATGACAACCACCCAGACTATATTATGACTGAGGTGCTCGTGACATCCAGTTACCTAAGGCTCTATGTACTTCATTCATAGAGCCTGCATTTGTCCTTAGCCTTTCCTTTCTCTAACCCTTCATTCCAAGTGACCCAGAATCTTTCTGTCAGAGAAATTAGGGTCTAATCAGCTAACTCACCCAGATGTATGGTTTGTTCTTTGAAGGCAAAATGATAGCATAATTTGAGGAATAACAGATCTGTGTATCTTCTAGCTGCAACCATTCCCAGATTCCAAGACCATTTTAAACCTGGCACATGGCTAAATGTGGTCTCAGGCCACTCTAGAAGAAACTCACCTTTGCACACCCACGTCACCCTACTAATTCAGGCCCTGATCTTGGGGAGGGGAAGTACTTCATGCAGTCACTGTCTTGTTACCCACCCACAGAAGCTATAGAGAAGTAGGAGGGAGGCAGTGGGCTGTGCTGGGGATCAGAGATCGATGGTGGCCTGGCTACAGGCCCAGGGTTCCATTAGCTGGGGCTTCAGTTTCCCAAAGCTGAATTGTGTCTGGGACCTGGGGTGGTGTAGTTGCCAATGTGTGTGTGTGTGTGGGGGGGGGTGTTGGGGGATTCCAGTGCCTCTCCCCTCAAGACTGAACCTGCCCCCAGGCCTTGGTCTCCTCCTGGTTCTTCAGAAGGTAAGATGAAGAGGCTACCTTTAAGCCTACAGAATGCCTGAGTTTCTCCAGGGCCTCTTTTCTCACCAAACAGTCTAAAGTGTCATAACCCAGTTGATTTCATCTTGGGAATAGATGAGAACAAACTCAGCTCAGTCTCCCTAGTTCATTTAGGTCCGACTCCCTGCTCCCCTTCTATCCCAATAAATGTAGTAGAGGGTAGAGGGTGGACTAGGAGTTTGCTACTCTTAATGAACCCTAGGAAGTCCTGGACTGCTACCAAGAGGCCAGAAGTTCAAACCCACCAACTACTCCTCAGAAACCCTATACAGGGTCACTGAGTCAGAACCAACTCGAAGGCACATAACTATAACTAGACTGTAGAATAAGCAATTCCTGGACCTTCCTACATCCCCAGTTTCCTCTGCATCTTTCCAGTTTTCCCAACAATCATTTTAACAGATTCTCACGTCTTCCTGTTCTGAAAGGAATTGCACAGTTCTTGGCATGAAGAGGGGGGAACCCAAACATCTTCACCTCTAATAGCTCTCCAGAGTTGACTTATATGTGGAGGTGGAATGGAGAATAAATTTCTCACTACTGATGTCAATGCCTTTAGGTCCTGGGACAAACAAGGGAAGCCAACCCACCCCTAACCAAAACTGAACTATAAATGTTTCATTCATAGTGTTCCCACTCTTGTCCTTCCAGACTTCATCCCCACCCCAAACCTTGGGTAAAGCCGGTGTATCTTCAGGAAGCTCTGGGAATATCCATAGAACCTAATACCCAATGATACCTAGCTATACACTCTGTTCCCCTCAGGCATGCTCCCAGTCACCACATACCCTGTCACTCTGACACATGTAATCACATCCATGTCACATACACACATACGGTCACATACTTTGCTCTCATATACATGAACACACAATCACACCCCTGTGTCTTTCACACACTAGGCCCACACACACCCTGTAAGCTACCCCGGCACGGTGGAAGCTGTAGAAAGCCACACACATCTTCAGAGCTACATGGGTCTCTGGATCCCAAAGGGACCTCCCAGAAGGCTGGTATTATCTCAGAACTCCTGTGTGTTTCTAGACCCCTCCCCACGTCCCCCAGATTCTCCTAACCTTATCTCCATACCTCAGTCCCCACTCCTCACCCCTCATCACTTCCTCTAAACTCCCTCAGTTCCTCTCCTCAAGGCCCCCTCCTCAGTTCTCAAAGATGCCCCATCCCACCACTCTCCTACCCACCTGCCCCAGCCATGAGGGTGGAGCATTGCCCTCCCCAACCCTCTTCAATGCTGTGGAACAATTGTCCCTTCAGCCCAGACACTCCCAGACACCTGGGTTACCTTCTAAGGAGACAGGTTCAAAGAGGCCAAACTGCTCCAGGACCTTGACAAACAGAGCGAGGACCACGAGCACAGCGACCATCTCCAGCCCTTCCAGGTTCATGTTGGGCCCGGGGCATGGCTCCCACCTTGTCTAGGCTCAGACAAGCCAGCCTGCTGGCCTCACACCACCTCCCAGGCCCAAGTAGGACTGCCTGAAACCTCCCTCCACCTCCCTCCACATCTCCTCCCTTTCCCCTTCACCCCGCCTCTGCCTCTGCCCCACACGCCTCCCAGCCACAGCTGCCGCCTCTTCCTCTTCCTGAGGCCACCTCAGCCTTTGGACTCGCACCTCCTTGGGAACCTTCGGCATGAAGGATACTGACCAGGTCGGGCTAGGACAGAGGAGGAAGGCAGCGACCTGCCTCTGGTCCTAAGGACAACTTTCCCAGATATCTTTGTGGTTACTCTGTGCAGGGGAGTGGGGCAGTGTGGCTGTGCCCAACACTCTAAGTAATAGGGAGAACCTGCTATGGGTGTCTGGTGTTTTCCTGGGTATATATTCCTGTATTGGTCTCTTCTCTTATATGTGTCTCTGTGTATTAGGTATGTTTTACCTTGTCTATTAGGTATGTTTTGTGTATGGTCATGCATTTCTACTCTTTGTATATGGATATGTGACCTGAGTGTCTAGGAGAGTCAAGAATATGCAACCTGGATGTCTTAAGTGTGGATAGGGTGTGAAGTATTTATATTTTAGTAGGGTGGGAAGTAGTGGGTGTGCTGTAAAATTAGGAGGACAATCTATAGTTGTGTAGTAGTATCAGCATGGAATTGTCTGTGTGTCTGAGAATATAAGGCGGGAGTAGGGGCGGCAGTGACCTCTCCCATTAGGAGGACACCACCAGCATCGATTGTGGTTGCCATGGAGACTGTGGGGCAGGAAGCACTTTCTTCCCACAGGCCACAAACAGGGAAACTGAGGCCCAAGGAAGGGAGGATTAGATAGCCTGCACAGGAAGAGAGCTACTTGCCCCCATGAGGGGAGGGGGCTTATTTCAGTTGCTTTTGGGACCAACAGGTCCAATCTACCTCACCTCCACCCCCAACCCCACTGGGACTTCACCCAGGAGCTGCTAAAGCCCTGCCAGAGCTGATGGAGCAGCCCAGGGTAGGAGAGAAATCTGAACCCTCCACAGCAGCCACCCACCCCTAGGAGCATTTCTGGTGTCCCTCTCCCTCTTTTCTGGTGGGGGAGGGGAAAGTATGCAGGGCCAATGAGCTGCAAACAAGGACCTCTGAATTAATAACAACTACTTCCACTGTCGAAAACGACTCAATGGCACATAACAACAACAACAACAACAACAACTTCCACTGCTAAGGAGTTCAGGTAGCCCCTAGTGGTTAGGAATCAGTCTCACGGTCAGCAGTTCGAAACTACCAGCTCGAAACAACAACTTCCACTGCTAAGGACCTCTGGTAGCAGTGGTTGTGTGCCGTGTGCCGTGGAGTCGTGGAGTCAGTTCCGACTCAGTGACCCTGTACAGGGTTTCTGAGTCTGTAAATCTTTACGGCAGCAGAAAGCCTCATCTTTCTCCCGCAGAACAGCTGGTAGTTTCAAACTGCTGTCCCTGAGGTTAGCAGACCGATTCCTAACCACTGTACCTACCAGAGCTGCTTTCTAATCGGGCTGCTAACCTCAAGGTCAGCAGTTCGAAACTACCAGCTGTTCTGCAGGAGAAAGATGAGCTATCTGCCCCATAAACCCTGTACAGGGTCACTATGAGTTGGAATCGACTCCACAGGACACTATCACTTCCACTGCTGACTAACAGATATGCTTACAGACATTACCACATTGACTTTTCACAATGAACCTAATGCCCATATTACAGGTGGTGAAACTGAGGCTAAACTGAGACATATTCCCAAGATCAGGCAGTATCAATATTAAATTGCTCTAATAACCTTTGAGCCTGTGCTATAGACCACCACACCACCTCCTTAGAAAGCTTGCCCATCCAGGAGGCCCTGTGCATGAGAGTTACTCCAGAGGGCACACTCCCTCCATCTACCTCTGAGATGAGTTAGGCTCTCAGTCCAAATTGTGGGGTTGTAACTATTGCTCCTTGGAAACCCTATACAGGGTCGCTATGGGTTGGAATCCACTCGACGGCACTTGACAACAACAACAACAATTTTTGCTGCAGTTGAGGTTCACTGATCTGTAGTTCTGCTTAGCCACCACTGGGGGTCGGGCATCTACCTTGTATCATATTAGCCCCCTTTCCACAAGGACAGACT